CCCCAGGTTGGATATACAGTATCTTGTTTACAGTAATTGAACATAGTTCTTATAATATTATAGTCTTCTGCATTGTGTTACATGATACCATGGTCAACTGTGTCAGAGCAGGGAATGTCAGTCTGGCTTGTATGTTCTTTCTTACATTATGTCAATGATTAGGTTATCATATACTGTAGACATGGTCTGCTCTGCTGTATCTTGTAGCTGTATCTCATGTGCTTGGACCAGATAACAACATGTATTACTGGATCTAGGTTACTCCGAGAGAGGAACCAGAGAGAAAAATAGTCTATAGAGGGTATGTTTGTTGCCTGCCTGCTGTTTTGTTGCGTAGGCCCTAGTGTTCCATTTCCTACAATCTCCTTCTCCTCCAGGTTCACATCCTGGATGCTTTGTGGTGTACAGGATGTCAAAAGATCATGACGCAAGTGGAAAGTTTGGAGCACTTTTTACACGGAAGCTATCCTCCATTCAGGAAAAGGATGTTTGTAATGCTTGAAAGCTCTCTACTTACTTTTTTTTCTAATTGTTCTTTCATTCAGGAAAAACAGGCTCAGACTGTCAGTCATCCTTTTTTTCAGTTTTAGAATTTGACTTTGGTCATGGGGCATTAAAATGTATTCCAATATAAAGGTCCATTGATTAATATGCGTGAATGAAACAGAAATGACTTGCGTCATTGTAGGCTACTGTGAATTTATTGAAGATGATTAAATGCCTGAGCGGCATGGGACCGCTCACAGAAGCATGTGCATTATTTATGCCTTAGCCCCTCTTCGTTCCACAGCCTGAATCAGACTGCGTTAAATACATAAGGCAATTGCATAGCCCTTCCCTGGACAATAACATTTAGTCCAATAACAGGCAAAGTGTTCATATTCTTTATATTTTATTATTTCTTATTGTTGCATTGTTGAAGGAACCTGCAAGTAAGCATTTTGTTGGACAGTGTATACCACGTGTATCAGCTGTCTGCTGATACAATGCCCGTTCGTGAAGCACAAACATTTTCTGATGCCGAGTAGAAATTACAATAAGAAGCATTTTAGATATGCGTTTACAAAACGCAGCAAGATATTTCTTATGTGTTTTTATATATTTTTTTCCTGCGTTAAAAACAAAGAATTCTGTGTTAATGCGACCCCTAAGTTTAACTTGCTAGATATCTAAGTATGTGGCTGAATTAATAAGGTAACGGTGCATTATATTGTGAAGAGATGTGTTTGAGAAGCACTTCGGATGAGTTATCTGTACAGCTTGATTCTTGTGTTATCTCCTCTCTGTTCTCGGCCTGTCTGCTCCTCCCTCATCTTCTCAGAGCAAAGCAGGGAGGCCCGTTGCCCTAGTGACACCAGACTCCACACAGACACAGTGTGTACACATGCTGCTCCAGAGCCAGTACTGTTCTTCCTTCAGACAAGCAAGTGTCAAAACTTTGTTCATTTGCCCAATGTATCTCATTCACATTTGCTTGTAAATGTCCAAACTCACCAAAAATGACATTCGGTAGCTCCGGCCTTTATTTTAAGAATGTGAAATGTCAGAATAATAGTAGAGAGAATGATTTATTACAGCTTTTATTTCTTTCATCACATTCCCAGTGGGTCAGAAGTTTACATACACTCAATTAGTATTTGGTAGCATTGCCTTTTAAATTGTTTAACTTCCACAGAGATGAACGTACTTTGGTCCGAAAAGTGCAAATCAATCCCAGAACAACAGCAAAGGACCTTGTGAAGATGCTGGAGGAAACGGGTACAAAAGTATCTATATCCACAGTAAAACGAGTCCTATATCGACATAACCTGAAAGGCCGCTCAGCAAGGAAGAAGCCACTGCTCCAAAACCGCCATAAAAAAGCCAGACTACAGTTTGCAACTGCACATGGGTACAAAGATCATACTTTTTGGAGAAATGTCCTATGGTCTGATGAAACAAAAATAGAACTGTTTGCCCATAATGACCATCGTTATGTTTGGAGGAAAAGGGGGGTGGCTTGCAAGCCGAAGAACACCATCCCAACCGTGAAGCACGGGGGTGGCAGCATCATGCTGTGGGGGTGTTTTGCTGCAGGAGGGACTGTTGCACTTCACAAAATAGATGGCATCATGAGGAAGGAAAATTATGTGGATATATTGAAGCAACATCTCAAGATATCAGTCAGGAAGTTAAAGCTTGGTCGCAAATGGGTCTTCCAAATGGACAATGACCCCAAGCATACTTCAAAAGTTGTGGCAAAATGTCTTAAAGACAACAAAGTCAAGGTATTGGAGTGGCCATCACAAAGCCCTGACCTCAATCCTATAGAAAATGTGTTGGCAGAACTGAAAAAGTGTGTGCGAGCAAGGAGGCCTACAAACCTGACTCAGTTACACCAGCTCTGTCAGGAGGAATGGGCCAAAATTCACCTGACTTATTGTGGGAAGCTTGTGGAAGGCTACCCGACACGTTTGACCCAAGTTAAACAATTTAAGGCAATGCTAACAAATACTAATTGAGTGTATGTAAACTTCTGACCCACTGGGAATGTGATGAAAGAAATAAAAGCTGAAATAAATCATTCTCTCTACTATTATTCTGACATTTCACATTCTTAAAATAAAGTGGTGGTCCTAACTGACCTAAGACAGGGAATTTATACCAGGATTAAATGTCAGGAATTGTGAAAAACTGAGTTTAAATGTATTTGGCTAAGATGTATGTAAACTTCCGACTTCAACTGTATAACTTTATGAGCTGGATTGCCAGTCTTTGCAATTCATTTATTTTCGTTTGCGTTCATTAGCATATTTAGCTAGCAGCCTCCATGGAAATACTCGATTACTTGTGCTAATTTTGTGTAAGCCCAATGTTGTTTTTTGCCCCCAAGTGTGCGTCATCCCAAAGCCTGGGATGCGTCATCCCAAAGCCTGGGAAAAAAATTTTATGGCTCGGTTTACACAGAGGCGTATGGCAGAATCTTTAAAGAAAAAACAGAAATCATGACTACCTCTGTTGGCCGAATTAAATGTACCCGGTTTGTTCCCAGCTTCACCTTTCAGATATAAAGAAAAGGTGGTATAAAGAAGACAGCATGGTAAAGATAGCAGGTTTTTGTCTTTGTATAAAAGGGATGTACAGTGGGGTCTGGAATTATTGGATCCCTTGATAAAGATAAGCAAAAAATACTATAAAATAAATAACACACATACTGAGATTGTATGCTCAAAACATTTTATAAAATGATATTATTGTATACTAATACAATTGCTCAGAAAAAGATTAGTTCAACAAAACAAAAACTACATCTCAAAAAGATAGGGGTCAAAATTATTGGATCCCCTGTTTTCTATACTCCAGGACCCTCCCCTTTCGAGGATAATGACACTGAGCCTTTTTCTAAAATGTTTTATGAGATTGGAGAACACATTGGGAGGGATCTTAGACCATTCCTCCATACAGAATCTTTCCAGATCCTTGATATCCTATGTCTGCGCTTATGGACTGCCCTCTTAAATTCAAACCACAGGTCTTCAATTGGGTTCAAGTCTGGAGACTGAGATGGCCATTGCAAAATGTTGATTTTTGTGGTGAGTTAACCATTTCTTTGTGGATTTTGAGGTGTGTTTGGGGTTATTTTCTTGCTGGAAGATTCCATTGCAGCCAAGATTCAGCCTCCTGGCAGAGGCAACCAGGTTTTTGGTAAAAATGTCCTGGTACTTGGTAAAGTTCATGATGCCGTTGACCTTAACAAAGGCCCCAGGACCAGTGGAAGCAAAATAGCCCCATAATGTCAAAGATCCACCACCATATTTTACAGTAGGGATGAGGTATTTTCTGCAAATGCGTTGTTCTTTCAAAGGTCAAAGAGCTCTATTTTCTGACCATAGCACCCGCTGGAGTTTACTAAACAGTATTGGCTCTTGGATTGGAACCGGTGCAATGGTCGTATGGAGGAAAGTATGAATGTAGGCTAAACGTTAACAAATGCTAAACACTAAAACAAAAGTGGACTATGGATTGTCTATACATAGGAGGACTTGGATTTGTAAAATGTTACACAGCCTAAAGAACACAGACAGATAAATAATACATTGACAAGTCATATTAGTTTCAAACAGGAATGGTTTAGTCCATGAATGGGGAATTAATAGGCCTAGAGGAGAATAGCTGAGAATTCTCAACTCCACGATACAATGGAGTTGAGTGCCGATGAGTTTTGGCGGAGTGTAGGCTACCTCCCACTACATTGAGTTGGAATCAGTCGAAACTAGTAAAAATGTCCATTCTTTAATGCGTACTTTGTACCTAGAGTATGTTTGTCCTGTGTAAAGACGTTATTTTCTTTGGGTGCTGCAATCCATAGTTTTTGATAAAAGTATAGTTTTATGCGACCTCTGCCAAGGGAACCGTTATTTAACAGAGAAGGAGCATAGAATGCAATGTTTCTATGAAAAACGACGGATTGTAACACTCAAAGAAAATAAGTCCTTTACACAGGACAAACATAGGTACAAGGTACGCATTAAAGAATGGACATTTTTACAAGTATTGACTGATACCGACTCGATGTAGTCAGAGGTACACTCCCCCAAATCTTATCGCCACTCAACTCCATTGGGATGTGATGTATATATCATGGAGTTGAGAATACTCAACTAAGAGGAGAAATTACACCTTTTGAGAACTAGAAGCCCAAGTGATGGTGCTGGCTGGCTGTAGTCCATATCGTCACAAGTGCTCTATCTCTCTCCCTGACTTTTTCACCCACTATTCATTCATGGATAGTTTAGTTCAAGTTCTGTTGGTTAATTGAAGAAGTTTGTCTGCAACTGTCTGATCAAGCTGGCTGCAAATATTGTCCAATAAGCTTTCATTCTGAATGCTTGAATTAGAGCTCTTGTGAAACAGGGACATCTTCTGGCAAGGCTCTACATAGCATGCAATAAAGTGGGATAGAGCTTTACATTGAAACATAAGTAGTACCCCATCTAATAGTGTGCTGTGTAAAGTGAAATATGACATCAGATGTGCTGGTCATCACCAAGGCAGACCTTTTCAAAGTCACCATGTTATTTTGATGCCAGACAACTCAGCAGTCTATTGACTTTGCTGTTTGATTTGGTGTGAATGGAATACTCCTTCATGTCATCTCTGTCAGCTACTCCATAATTATTTCCCCTTGCACTGTTAAATGTAAAAAGTGCACAAGACTCTAGGATTTTATTAGGATCCCCATTAGCCGACGCCAATGGCGACAGCTAGTTTTACTGGTGTCCGACACGTAAGAAAAAATACATTACAGACAGACTTTACATACATACAGTACCAGTCAAAAGTTTGGACACACCTTCTCATTCAAGGGTTTTTCTTTATTTTTTACTATTTTCTACATTGTAGAATAATAGTGAAGACATCAAAACTATGAAATGACACGTATGGAATCATGTAGTAACCAAAAAATAGTGAAACAAATCAAAATATGTTTTAGATTCTTCAAAGTAGCCACCCTTTGCCTTGATGACGGCTTTGCACTCTCTTGGCATTCTCTCAACCAGCTTCACCTGGAATGCTTTTCCAACAGTCTTGAAGGAGTTCCCACATATGCTGAGCACTTGTTGGCTGCTTTTCCTTCACTCTACGGTCCAACTCATCCCAAACCATCTCAATTGGGTTGAGGTCGGGGGATTGTGGAGGCCAGGTCATCTGATGCAGCACTCCATCACTCTCCTTTTTTGTCAAATAGCCCTTACACAGCCTGAAGGTGTGTTTTGGGTCATTGTCCTGTTGAAAAACAAATGATAGTCCCACGAAGCGCAAACCAAATGGGATGGCTTATCGCTGCAGAATCAAATCAAATCACATTTTATTGGCCACATGCGCCGAATACAACAGGTGTAGACATTACAGTGAAATGCGTACTTACAGCCCTTAACCAACAATGCATTTATTTTTTAATAAAAAAAGTAAAATAAAACAACAACAGTGTTGAGAGAAAAAATAGCAGAAGTAAAATAAAATAACAGTAGGGAGGCTATATATACAGGGGGGTACCGGTGCAGAGTCAATGTGCGGGGGCACCAGGTAGTTGAGGTAATATGTACATGTGGGTAGAGTTAAAGTGATTATGCATAAATAATTAACAGAGTAGCAGCAGCGTAAAAAGATGGGGTGGGGGTGGGGGGGCAGTGCAAATAGTCCGGGTAGCCATGATTTAGCTGTTCAGGAGTCTTATGACTTGGGGGTAGAAGTTGTTGAGAAGTCTTTTGGACCTAGACTTGGCACTCCGGTACCGCTTGCCGTGCGGTAGCAGAGAGAACAGTCTATGACTAGGGTGGCTGGAGTCTTTGACAATTTTGAGGGCCTTCCTCTGATACCGCCTGGTATAGAGGTCCTGGATGGCAGGAAGCTTGGCCCCAGTGATGTACTGGGCCGTACGCACTACCCTCTGTAGTGCCTTGCGGTCGGAGGCCGAGCAGTTGCCATACCAGGCGGTGATGCAACCAGTCAGGATGCTCTCGATGGTGCAGCTTTATAATTGTTTGAGGATCTGAGGACCCATGCCAAATCTTTTCAGTCTCCTGAGGGGGAATAGGCTTTGTCGTGCCCTCTTCACGACTGTCTTGGTGTGTTTGGACCATGATACTTCGTTGGTGATGTGGACACCAAGGAACTTGAAGCTCTCAACCTGTTCCACTACAGCCTCGTCGATGAGAATGGGGCCGTGCTCAGTCCTATTTTTTTTCCTGTAGTCCCAATCATCTCCTTTGTCTTGGTCACGTTGAGGGAATGGTTGTTATCCTGGCACCACATGGCCAGGTCTCTGACCTCTTCCCTATAGGCTCTCACCGTTGTAGGTGATCAGGCCTACCACTGTTGTGTCGTCGGCAAACTTAATGATGGTGTTGGAGTCGTGACTAGCCATGCAGTCATGGGTGAACAGGGAGTACAGGAGGGGACTGAGCACGCACCCCTGAGGGGCCCTCGTGTTGAGGATCAGTGTGGCAGATGTGTTGTTACTTACCTGAAGTCCAGGATCCAGTTGCAGAGGGAGGTGTTTAGTCCCAGGATCCTTAGCTTAGTGATGAGCTTTGAGGGCACTATGGTGTTGAATGCTGAGCTGTAGTCAATGAATAGCATTCTCACGTAGGTGTTCCTCTTGTCCAGGTGGGAAAGGGCAGTGTGGAGTGCAATAGAGATTGCATCATCTGTGGCTCTGTTGGGGCGGTATGCAAATTGGAGTGGTTCTAGGGTTTTTGGGATAATGTTGTTGATGTGAGCCATGACCAGCCTTTCAAAGCACTTCATGGCTACAGACGTCAGTGCTACGGGTCGGTAGTCATTTAGGCATGTTATCTTAGTGTCCTTGGCCACGGGGACTATGGTGGTCTGCTTGAAACATGTTGGTATTACAGACTCAGTCAGGGACATGTTGAAAATGTCAGTGAAGACACTTGCCAGTTGGTCAGCACATGCTCGGAGTACACGTCCTGGTAATCCGTCTGGCCCTGCGGCCTTGTGGATGTTGGTTGACCTGCTTAAAAGTCTTATTCACATTGGCTACGGAGAGCGTGATCACATAGTCATCTGGAACAGCTGGTGCTTTCATGCATGCTTCAGTGTTGCTTGCTTCGAAGCGAGCATAGAAGTAGTTTTGCTCGTCTGGAAGTCTTGTGTCACTGGGCAGCTCGCGGCTGTGATTCCCTTTGTAGTATGTAATAGTTTTCAAGCCCTGCCACATCCGACGAGCGTCAGAGCCGGTGTAGTACGATTCAATCTTAGTCCTGTATTGACTTTTTGCCTGTTTGATGGTTCGTCGGAGGGCATAGCGGGATTTCTTATAAGCGTTCAGGTTAGAGTCCCGCTCCTTGAAAGCGGCAGCTCTACCCTTTAGCTCAGTGCGGATGTTGCCTCTAATCCATGGCTTCTGGTTGGGGTACCTACGGTCACTGTGGGGACGACGTCATCGATGCACTTATTGATGAAGCCAGTGACTGATGTGGTGTACTCCTCAATGCTATCTGAAGAATCCCGGAACATGTTCCAGTCTGTGCTAGCAAAACAGTCCTGTAGCTTAGCATCTGCGTCATCTGACCACTTTTTTTATTAACCGAGTCACTGGTGCTTCCTGCTTTAGTTTTTGCTTGTAAGCAGGAATCAGGATGGTCAGATTTGCAAAATGGAGGGCGAGGGAGAGATTTGTATGCATCTCTGTGTGTGGAGTAAAGGTGGTCTAGAGTTTTTTTTTCCTCTGGTTGCACATTTAACATGCTGGTAGAAATTAGGTAGAACTCATTTAAGTTTCCCTGCATTAAAGTCCCCGGCCACTAGGAGCGCTGCCTCTGGATGAGCGTTTTCCTGTTCACTTATGGCCTTATACAGCTAATTCAGTGCAATCTTAATGCCAGCATTGGTTTGTGGTGGTAAATAGACAGCTATGAAAAATATAGATAAACTCTCTTGGTAAATAGTGTGGTCTACAGCTTATCATAAGATACTCTACCTCAGGCGAGCAAAACCATGAGACTTCCTTAGTATTTGATTTTGTGCACCAGCTGTTGTTTACAAATATACACAGACCGCCACCCCTTGTCTTACCGGAGTCACCGTTCTATCCTGCCGATGTAGCGTATATCCCGCTAGCAGTATGTTGTCCATGTCGTCGTACAGCCACGACTCAGTGAAACATAATATATTACAGTTTTTCAAGTCCCGTTGGTAGGATAACTGTAATCTTAGGTCATCTATTTTATTCTCAAATGATTGAACATTGACTAATAGGATTAATGGAAGAGGCAGTTTACTCGCTCGCCATCGGATCCTTACAAGGCACCCTGGCCTACGTCCATGATATCTCCGTCTCTTTCTCATGCGAATGACGGTGATTTGGGCCTTGTGTCTGTAGGATATCCTTTGCGTCCGACTTGTTGAAGAAAAAATCTTCGTCCAATACGAGGTGAGTAATCGCTGTCCTGATATCCAGAAGCTCTTTGTGGTTATAATAGACAATGGCAGAAACATTATGTACAGAATAAATGACAAATAACGCGGAAAAACACACATAATAGTACAATTGGTTAGAGGGCTGTAAAACGGCAGCCATCTTCTCCGGCGCTGTGGTAGCCATGCTGGTTAAGTGTGCCTTGAATTTAAAAATAAATCACTGACGTGTCACCAGCAAAGCACCCCCACACCATCACACCTCCTCCATGCTTCACGGTGGGAACCACACATGCGGAGATCAGCCGTTCACCTACTCTGCGTCTCACAAAGACACGGCGGTTGGAACCAGAAATCTCACATATGGACTCATCAGACCAAAGGACAGATTTCCACCGGTCTAATGTCCATTGCTCATGTTTCGTGGCCGACGCAAGTCTCTTCTATTTGGTGTCCTTTAGTAGTGGTTTCTTTGCAGCATTTCAAGGCCTGATTCACGCAGTCTCCTCTGACCATTTGATTTTGATGTTGATGTGTCTGTTACTTGAACTCTGTGAAGCATTTATTTGGGCTGCAATTTCTGAGGCTGGTAACTCTAATGAACTTATCCTCTGCAGCAGAGGTAACTCTGGGTCTTCCTGAAATAAAAGATCCTAAACATTTTCCATGCGCCCAAAAGGTTATTTCTATCAAATGTTGTGCACAAATTTGTTTACATCCCTGTTAGTAAGCATTTCTCCTTTGCCAATATAATCCATCAACCTGACAGGTGTGGCATATCAAGAAGCTGATTAAACAGCATGATTATTACACACGTGCACCTTGTGCTGGGGACAATAAAATGCCACTCTAAAAGGTGCAGTTTTGTCACACAACACAATGCCACAGATGTCTCAAGTTGAGGGAGTATGCAATTGGCATGCTGACTACAAGAGCTGTTGCCAGATAATTTGATGTGCATTTCTCTACCATAAGCCGCCTCCAACGTTGTTCTAGAGACATTGGCAGTACGTCCAATTGGCCACACAACCTCAGATCATGTGTATCGCGTCGTGTGGGCGAGCAGTTTGCTGATGTCAATGTTGTGACAGAGTGCCTCATGGTTGCGGTGGGGTTATTGTGTGGGCAGGCATAAGCTACGGACAACAAACACAATTGCATTTTATCAATGGCTATTTGAATGCACAGAGATACCGTGAGGAGATCCTGAGGCCCGTTGTTGTGCCATTCAGCCGCCACCAACACTGACTGTTTCAGTACGATAATGCACGGCCCCATGTCGCAAGGATCTGTACACAATTCCTTGAAGCTGAAAATGTCCCAGTTCTTCCATGGCCTGCATACTCACCAGACATGTCACCCATTGAGCATGTTTGGGATGCTCTGGATCGACATGTAGGTCAGCGTCTTCCAGTTCCCGCCAATATCCAGCATCTTCACACAGCCATTGAAGAGGACTGGGACAACGTTCCACAGGCCACAACCAACAGCCTGATCAACTCTTTGCGAAGGAGATGTGTTGCGCTGCATGAGGCAAATGGTGGTCACACCAGATACTGACTGGTTTTCTGATCTACACAGGTGTCTGTGACCAACAGATGCATATCTGTATTCCCAATCATGTGAATTCCAAAGATTAGGACCTAATGCATTTATTTCAATTTACTGATTTCCTTATAGGAACTGTAACTCAGTTCAGTATACATTTCAGTACATACACACAACAAGTAGGTCACATGGGGGAGAGGTGTTATGCTGTGATGATGTGTTGGTTTATGTGTTGTTTGAAACCAGGTTTTCTGTTCACTTGCGCTATATGAGATGGAAGGGAGTTCCATGCATTCATGGCTCTGTATAATACTGTACGTTTCCTTGAATTTGTTCTGGACATGTTTGAGGATTTTTGCAAGCTGCATACTGTGTACACACTTTTTATGGTAAGCTAATAGCTGAGTGTACGGTGTGTGTGTGTGTGTGTATATGCGTAGGAGAATGCACTGTAAACTCATTAATCTGTGTTTCAGGGCACAGAGAGGTGCAGTAGCTCACCTACAGTAACTTAACGATGCACAATCGCTCCGCCAGTTCCTGGGTTCTAAAATTCTAATAGTTTGCCTAATTTCAGTTTATGTGACAAAACAAGCAAGTTAGTATAGTGTAGAGAATCATTGTACCATCTAAACTGCTGTGAAATATATTTTCTATAACCAAAAATATTGTATTTTCAGCTGTTTGAAGCTGGTGTACAAAACTGAAAGTTAAAGACGCAAAAACAAATCTTAAGAACGGGAAGCATAGCAATGGCGCACATTGAACAGATCTACCGCTTCTTAGACTTGCTTTCAATGAGAGTGACAGATCTATAACACACATTTCTATGTTAATGTGGTCGGGTCACCCAAAAAGTTACATATTGCAGCTTTAAAGCTGCACCCTCCCCCTACCTTTCCCTCTCTTCCCCTTCCCCCCCTCTACCCCTCCCTCCAGTGAGCGGATGAGGGGTCAGGAGCTCAAGGGCTGATGCTGCTCCACTGCCTCCCACAGAGTGCCCAGACCGGACAGGAGAGTAGGGATGTCCACAGTTCACAGGGCTGGAACAGCTGAATCCCAGGGTACCACAGACATGGATACCTGCCTGTCTACTACCTAAACCAAAGATGCTAAGCTACCTATTGCAGAACAGATAGACAGATATTCATAGAGTGCTGCGTTACACAGATTCAAGTCAACTCTGTGGAAGTGGGGCTAGGCAGAGCAGACTGAGGTCTGTTACTCTACTGAGGTTTGCAGTAGCATACTGGAAGAGTTGTGGGACTCCAGCAGTACCTCCCCCCTAGCATGGAGCGTGGGGAGGGTTCACGGCGATCAGGTGAGCTCTTCTTTGTGATGAACCCTTAGGAAATAATCAGGCTAGACATATTTGCATATTCGTCTGATCTGTATTAAGACTTTTGGTCATGACCACAGCTGTTTCTCTTGTTGTGGAAGTGATGGTTACGCCATCATGATGTACTTACTGTATGTACAGGTATGTGTTGTCTGTCCTTGTGTATTGTAGTCGTTAATCTGTGGTGCTGGGAGGACCCAGAGTTAAATATAGGGATTTCATATCTCTCTGTGTGTTTGTGCATCTTACCTTCAGGCTCAGGTGTGCTGGGCTAGGCAGCGTATGAATCTGCCACTGTGGCGGCTTAACGAGTTATAAATAGATCTCATTGTCATTTATTATTATAGAGGCTGCAATGCTTCACTTACTGTAGTTCCTTGTTAGCAAACTACCTGATGAGATTGTGTTGTTGTGTGGAGGGATGTTTTGGCATTTAGTAAACACTCAGGGGGCTTTAAATATTGAAAATGTCTGTTAAATCAGCCACATTTTTTATATTTGGGAGAAACCGTTTTGTGTACATAAGAGTTAAAATATTCCTAGTTTCTGAGATTCTTACCTTGAAGTTATTCACTTAAGCCAATGGCAATTTGCCAAGTACTGCTACTGCATATTCAGCGCTGTTCATCTCTGTCAATGGAACTAACGTAAATCAAGAGGATTATCTCCCAGAATGAATGCATGAACCTGAACCTGTCCACCTCTCTTCTCTACACAGTGTCAGATCCCCTTTGTCTAATGTATCGTTGTAGTCTAATACAACTGATTCCTATGCATTCCTTGTTTGTGTAATGAACAGCGCAGACAGCCAGTACATGGTGATGATGGTTCTAACACTGCCCTTGTCTTCTCTTCGAAAGAATGCCTTGCTTTCCTCAGCCAGCACATTTTACAATCGGCTGGGTGTCTATTGTCTGTAGTGTGTTAGTCTCGCTTTGCCAAACTCATGGCGTTAGACACAGCGACTGTGGTAGACTACTGTAGGGCAAACTAACTATGGCTTGCAAAGGAATTAAAAGAATCCAATGCTTGAGAAATTGTGCTCTCTTAATTGAAACCCTCTTGGGATGTAACATCACATCTAATTTACAAGGAAGTCTCTGAAATGGATGATACATTGTGATGATAAATGGCATAATTGCGAAACGCCTTTATGGAACAGTGTCTGCTCTTAGTTTTGAATACTAGGCTGCACTTTATAATTAGATGGTTCATTATGATGACATTAGATGACATTTCCTCAGTAGTATGACAAGACACTGGTGAGCACCTCTCGTCTTAGCCAGTTGGGGGAGCAATCATGGGAAGAAAACATATTATTGCAAAGAGAAAGTTGTTTCAAGGTAGTTTGAATATCATACTGTACAGGATGTCCACAGTGCAGACCTTAGTGTCAGTCTCATTGACCAGTGTCGTCAGCAGCCTCATCCGGTGCACATGATTGCTCTGATTCCAGTAGCCTTCTGCGTGCTACCAGCAGGCTGCCCTGTCATAACATTTACTCAGCTACAGGGGTGTGAATTCTCTAGTATGCAATGCTGCTGTCGTTCTATTCCTGATTTCGTATCAGAGCATTTTAACAGAGATCAGCACTTTGGCAGTTAAACAGTGAAACGTCTGTCGGTGTGAAGAGCCACATAAGCCTTCAAAGGCACCGCTGGCGCTGACACACTGGAGCAGAATAGAGTACATATGGTAATCTGAGAGGGGAAGGTCATCTGAGGTCCTGAAGGTTACAGACTGTGCTGCTTTTTCAGCCTTCGTCGCGCAGACAAAGGCACAAAACCCCACAGGACACATGGCAATGACAATCAACAAGACACTGGAGATTACTTCTTCTTGATCCGTAGCAGGGCAAAGTGAACAACTGAATATGGATTGTTTCCTAAGAAAAGTATGACTGAAAATGTTCAATACTTTGGTCAAGTGGAAAAACTCCCAGGAAATCAATAGTGATTCAAAAGACAGAAACGTACAGATTCTTTAGACAACTGAATTTAAGCATTTCTTCACCTCTAACTCAGTCTTGAGTCACAGTGACACTGTTCTTAGAAATCAGGTGAATACTGATATTGAAACCAGTCAGGGAGTGAGAAATCCTAACCGTTTCAAAAAGAAGTCTACCCTTTCACCATTCTTTAATCTGAGCCCTTCTATTGCCACATATAGCTGCCTAGTTGAAAATGACCTTAGAGTATTTATGCTTACTGGCAACTTCTCTAAAGGTAACCTCATTGCAGAAGAGGTTGTAGCACTCAAAGGTCTACAAAATCACTTATCTTGTAGTTTTCCCTGCTGATAAGGGGGGGCGCTGTTTTGGTACAAAGTTATTAACGATATCACATGGCCATTATGAGTCATTATGAGAATTCTATGTCCCCTTACGTGCAAGCCCTACGGATTGTATTAAGAGTGAAATTGATGCATATATTAACAGTGCTTTAGTCCATGGTTGGATTACTGAAAATGAGAGGGATTTCCTCATCGAACCCACAACAATGGATGTTCAAATTCTTTATACAAACATCCCCCATGCAGGAGGCCTAGAAGCCCTCTCACACGTTCTAACTTTGATGGGGGCGAGGGCCACAAAAAATTGGAACTCGTGATGAGGAGCCACAGTGTCTCGTGGGTCTGCATACCCAGATCCATCCACCCCTTGCGAGCAAAACATTTTAGCGGCCCCTCTCGTGACAGCGATTATCTTTATTTTATCAGTTGTTGTAGGTCATTTCCTGCAATACTGCACATTTTGCCATGGGGCGTAGATAAAATGTTGCCGTTTTTAAAGCAAGTTAGCTGCAATTCTACACATTTTGCCATGGGGCAGAGAGAACATTTAGCAATTGTATAACTCATTTCATGCAATTCTACTAATTTTGCCATGGGGCGTAGAGGAAAAATTAGCAGTTTTACAGCTACACTGAAGACAAATATAAACGCAACATGTAAAGTGTTGGTCCCATGTTTACTGAGCTGAAATAAAAGATCCCAGACATTTTCCATATGCACAAAAAGCTTATTTATCTCAGATTTTGTGCACAAATTTGTTTACATCCCTGTTAGTGAGTATTTCTCCTTTGCCAAGATAATACATCCACCTAACAGGTGTGGCATATCAATAAGCTGATTAAACAGCATGATCATTACTAGTATGAAAATGTATGCACTCACTAACTGTAAGTCGCTCTGGATAAGAGCGTCAGCTAAATTACTAAAATGTAAAATGTAACTAGGGCTGACCCTGACAAAAAAAATAATCTTGGTAGACCAAAAGTAGTCTGTTCTTTCGACCAATCGATTGGTCTACATTTTAAACTTGTATTTACAATGTGTTTTAATAAAATCAACTATATACATTGAGCTTGTCTGATGCTTTAAGCTTACGGTTTGATGAAATAAGACAAATGCCTCAAGAGGGCGCCAGAGATCTAGATAACCAGAATTTAAAAAAAACTTAACCTGACCCAACTATTCTCCTCCCGCTCCTGCTGGCTTTCACAGATTCTGCCATTATTCTCCAGAAGTTTCCGGTAATAGGATACACGAGGAGTCTGCAACTTTTCTCATGTGGAATGCCAATTTATCTTACAATTTCTACTGATCTGCGTGCCAGTTATGGTTTTCATATGCACATGTGAAGTTTAATTTATAATAATGTCTTCATATCTCAAAATCATTGTCATGTGTTTAATAAAAATTAAAATGATACTAAGCTAAAAAGTAACTTCTATTGCCTTTGCCAACTATTTAAAAATAGCCTACATAAAGCCAACAAATTAAAAACATTGCAGCCTGCAGGTAGAAAATATCCTGATTTTAAAAATAAATGTCCTATAAATCACATTGGCTACACATGGCCTGTCTGCAACGAACTTGAAACATTGTATCAACTATTAATTTGGGTCCGGCCCTGAAGCTTGCGCTAGCGAACTTGCAACATTGTATAAAATATTCTGGGCCCTCAGTTTCCTGCGCCAGTGAGCTCGGGACAGACACAGCTGTAGGCTATTTGCGCAAGGGATAAGAAGCAGTGCTTGACTTGGGCAGGAGCTCACCGGAGCTGAATACCGGCACCTCATATTTTCTGCTGCTTGAGCTCCTGTTCCTCTTATCGAATATTAGCTCAAATCTATTGTGAAGCTTCTGCACCCATATATAAACAGCACCAGCACCCAAAATGAGTACCAAAACCTTTTTCAGTCCAAGTCAAGCACTGATAAGTAATCAGGTAGGCCTATTTTAAAACGTTTCCCCTGGATCAGAGCAAGACATTTTTCCCTTTCACGCTGAGTGGTTATCGAAAGGGAGAGAGCTGGAAAGATTTTTCAAGTACATTGAGGAACTATTGTAATTCTCAATGGATGTAAAAACAGACTTTGTTTGCTTGCTGTTTGAGGTGAAGAAAACATTACTTTGAGAACCATTAAGCCAATCAGAAATACTATCTGATCCCCAAATGGGCACATTTATACAGTGCATTCGGAAAGTATTCAGACCCCTTGACTTTTTCCACATTTTATTACGTTATAGCCTTATTCTAAAATTGATTAAATAGTTTTTTCCCCTCATCAATCTACACACAATACCCCATAATGACAAAGAAAAAACAGGTTTTTAGAAATATCACATTTACATAAGTATTCAGACCCTTGTTTGTTGAAGCACCTTTGGCAGCGATTACAGCCTAGAGTCTTCTTGGGTATGATGCTACAAGCTTGGCACACCTGTATTTGGGGAGTTTCTCCCATTCTTCTCTGCAGATCCTCTCAACCTCTGTCGGGTTGGATGGGGAGTGTTGCTGCACAGTTATTTTCAGGTCTCTCCAGAGATGTTCGATCAGGTTCAAGTCCAGGCTCTGGCTGGGCCACTCAAGGACATTCAGAGACTTGTCCCGAATCCACTCCTGCATTGTCTTGGTTGTGTGCTTAGGGTTGTTGTCCTATTGGAAGGTGAACCTTCACCTCAGTCTGAGGTCCTGAGCGCTCTGGAGCAGGTTTTCATCAAGGATCTCTCTGTACTTTGCTCCGTTCATCTTTCCCTCGATCCTGTCTAAGCCCCCAGTCCCTGCCGCTGAAAAACATACCCACAGCATGATGCTGCCACCAGCATGCTTCACCGTAGGGATGGAGCCAGGTTTCCTCCAGACGTGACGCTTGGCATTCAGGCCAAAGAGTTCAATCTTGGTTTCATCAGACGAGATAATCTTGTTTCTCATGGTCTGAGAGTCTTTAGGTGCCTTTTGGCAAACTCCAAGCAGGCTGTCATGTGCCTTTTACTGAGGAGTGGCTTCCGTCTGGCCACCCTACCATAAAGGCCTGATTGTTGGAGTGCTGCAGAGATGGTTGTCCTTTTGGAAGGTTTTCCCATCTCCACAGAGGAACTCTGGAGCTCTGTCAGAGTGACCATCGGGTTTTTGTCACCTCCCTGACCAAGGCCCTTCTCTCCCGATTTCTCAGTTTGGCTGGGTGACCAGCTCTAGGAAGAGTCTTGGTGGTTCCAAACATCATCCATTTCAGAATGATGGAGGCCACCGTGTTCTTGGGGACCTTCAAAGCTGCAGAATTGTTATGGTACCCTTCCCCAGATCTGTGCCTCGACAAGGGGCACTGTATGCCTGCATTTGCGCGCAGGCCAGGTAGCCTTAAGGCCTACTTCTATGCGTGTGCATCCTTACTCAACATTGACCGGAGCGCTCCACACAGAAAACAATGGCTAAATTGACAAAACCCGTAAATGGAATGAAATAAACCAAGTTTCTCACAAGTGTTTCCAGAGTGCACAACCTATGCTACAATGTGTCCACTCCTACAATGATAACGTGAATACTGGTATGATAATATTGAATGCATTAACAGAAATTACCGTAATCAAAGTAACAAACATTGTAGATTAGAAATGGTAGGAATGAACAGTAAATGTACTACTGGTGATATATGTAATGGGGAATTGATATACGCTAACAATCAAACGCAAACAATTCACACAATGAAGTTATGAAACAATGAATGTGCACAAATTGGTGGGAGAGAGCGCATTCTGGAGAGAGAAGTGCATTGTGCATCTGGGAGCATGGTCAATCTGACGTCTGCATTGGCCAGCAGAAGTCAGGGCATTCATACTAGCTTTTGTCAAGGAAGTGAGTGTGTGTTTTTTACAGGATGTACCACCTCCACCTACCGTCAACCAATCATGTCAATGCGGAGCTATACAGAGCCTTCCTCATTGTTAGAAAATTTGGGAGGCGCATGGCGATGCGGTATGGAGCTCGGTTTGGCCTCTGCATGCCTCTGGAGGCTCCACAATTGTCACACCCTCCATATGGATGCTCCCGCCACATTTTCGGATCAAGCATAAATTGGCTTTTAGTGTAGGCTTCCACAATGGATTAGTTCACTGAGATGGGCGCAAATATATATTTGTTACTGCTCGACTAAAACAATCTCTGTCGACCAACAGCCTAACGACCAAACAATCGATCAGTCGACTAATTGGGGTCAGCCCTAATCATTACACAGGTGCACCTTGTGCTGGGGACAGTGAAAGGCCAAAAATTTAAAATGTGCAGTTTTGTCACACAACACAATGCCACAGATGTCTCAAGTTTTGAGGGAACATGCAATTGGCATGCTGACTGCATACATGTCCACCAGAGCTGTTCCCAGAGAATTGAATGTTAATTTCTCTACCATAAGCCACCTCCAACGTTGTTTTAAAGAGTATCGGCAGTACATCCAACCGGCCTCACAACTGCAGAGCATGTGTATGGCGTCGTGTGGGTAAGCAGTTTGCTGATGTCAACATTGTAAAGAGAGTGCTCCATGGTGGCGGTGGGGCTATGGTATGGGCAGGCATAAGCTACGGACAGTGAACACAATTGCATTTTATCGATGGCAATTTCAATGCATTGAATGCACAAAAATACCATGACGGTAATACCTGCTTGGTAATTCAACCAAGCATACTATAAGTTTAGATAGCTGGCTGCTAGACTAATTTATCAATCTAAATAAATGTATCTGACATGGGCTAATTGAATGACTGCTGATGCACAACCAAATTTCGAAATTGCACCAATTATTCTAACTCTCAACAGTAAGTTGAGACCCCGATTGAGTTACACATTTTTTTTTTTGGTGTGTGAGTGAAATTGGTTCGCGGGCCTACAAACACTGACACATTCTCCAGAGTAACCCCTCGCTCAAAGACTTTGCGTCTAACCGTCCCCTGATATGCTTTAGGAGGGGTTGCAATATCATAGTCCGCGTCGTGCACAGTGGGCTCCCGAATCCTGCTCCTGTGCCCTATACCTGGCTCCCAGGTCCCCCCCAATGGTTTGGAAAGTTCTCTTTCCTCCAGAGGGGGAAATATTGTGAAGAAATTGTTAGAGGCACTTTGGATCGAGCGCTTCGATTGCGTTGAGCCAAAGGGTCTGACTGAACAGCTCTCTTTCTCATCTTTTTTGTAAATAAGTCCTTCTTTTATGTCTTTCTTTTGTTATTCAAGTGGAATGTATGTGTAGGAATCTTGAATGATGTTCATACTCTTGTTTGAATAACCTGTCTAATTGCTACTACTGACAGTATTGACATGTTTGATTGACATGACTAGTGGGACACTCCCCTGCGAGGGTATATAGGTGCCTTTTTCTACTCAAGGCTCTGAAGGCTTTTCATGCCAAACGTAAGCCTATTGTTTGTCTGTTCCGTCAATAAATTGATCAGATTTACTAGAAAGAGAATGCTCCTTTTTCTTTATTCTCCTTGTTAGTCACAAGTCGAAGTATCCTGGTGTATGGAATGTTTTTTGAATTTCAAGTCCCTCAGTTGAGCACCTGATTCCCCTTTTTTGTTTAAGCTGGGCTGAAGCGTGTTTGGGTATACTTTTGTTTTTCATCGTACAGTAGAGGTATGTCTTATCTTACACTGGCACCTTTTCTGTTGGCTCCCAGGAGATAACACTCCCAGAGAGAGCAGCCCTTTCATCAACAACACTGACCATGACCGAGGAAACTACTACGATGGCAAGAACATGGCTCTCTTTGAGGTATACCACATGTCAATGCTTTTGATATCATAATGTCATTACAATGAGGGGAAAAAAGTATTTGATCCCCTGCTGATTTTGTACGTTTGCCCACTGACAAAGAAATTATCAGTCTATAATTTTAATGGTAGGTTTATTTGAACAGTGAGAGACAGAATAACAACAACAAAATCCAGAAAGACGCATGTCAAAAATGTTATAAATTGATTTGCATTTTAATGAGAGAAATAAGTATTTGACCCCCTCTCAATCAGAAAGATTTCTGGCTCCCAGGTGTCTTTTTATACAGATAATGAACTGAGATTAGGAGCACACTCTTAAAGGGAGTGCTCCTAATCTCAGCTTGTTACCTGTATAAAAGACACCTGTCCACAGAAGCAATCAATCAATCAGATTCCAAACTCTCCACATATGGCCAAGGCCAAAGAGCTCTCCAAGGATGTCAGGGACAAGATTGTAGACCTACACAAGGCTGGAATGGGCTACAAGACCATAGCCAAGCAGCTTGGTGAGAAGGTGACAACAGTTGGTGCGATTATTCGCAAATGGAAGAAACACAAAAGAACTGTCAATCTCCCTCGGCCTGGGCCTCCATGCAAGATCTCACCTCATAGAGTTGCAATGATCGTGAGAACGGTGAGGAATCAGCCCAGAACTACACGGGAGGATCTTGTCAATGATCTCAAGGAAGCTGGGACCATAGTCACCAAGAAAACAATTGGTAACACACTACGCCGTGAGGGACTGAAATCCTGCAGCGCCCGCAAGGTCCCCCTGCTCAAGAAAGCACATACAGGGCCATCTGAAGTTTGCCAATGAACATCTGAATGATTCAGAGGAGAACTGGGTGAAAGTGTTGTGGTCAGATGAGACCAAAATTGAGCTCTTTGGCATCAACTCAACTCGCCGTGTATGGAGGAGGAGGAATGCTGCCTATGACCCCAAGAACACCATCCCCACCGTCAAACATGGAGGTGGAAACATTATGCTTTGGGGGTGTTTTTCTGCTAAGAGGACAGGACAACTTCACCGCATCAAAGGAACGATGGACAGGGCCATGTACTGTCAAATCTTGGGTGAGAACCTCCTTCCCTCAGCCAGGGCATTGAAAATGGGTCGTATATGGGTATTCCAGCATGACAATGACCCAAAACACACGGCCAAGGCAACAAAGGAGTGGCTCAAGAAGAAGCACATTAAGGTCCTGGAGTGGCCTAGCCAGTCTCTAGACCTTATTCCCATAGAAAATCTGTGGAGGGAGCTGAAGGTTCGAGTTGCCAAACGTCAGCCTCGAAACCTTAATGTCTTGGAGAAGATCTGCAAAGAGGAGTGGGCCAAAATCCCTCCTGAGATGTGTGCAAACCTGGTGGCCAACTACAGGAAACGTCTGACCTCTGTGATTGCCAACAAGGGTTTTGCCACCAAGTACAAGGTCATGTTTTGCAGAGGGGTCAAATACTTATTTCCCTCATTAAAATGCAAATCAATTTATAACATTTTTTACATGCGTTTTTCTGGATTTTTTTGTTGATATTCTGTCTTTCACTGTTCAAATAAACCTACCATTAAAATTATAGACTGATCATTTCTTTGTCAGTGGGCAAACGTACAAAATCAGCAGGGGATCAAATACTTTTTTCCCTCACTGTAATTACCACAGGTTTTATGCCACTTAACCTAAAGTGGGAGCTAAATGCTTACCTGGATTATGTTGTAGACTACATATCATCCAAACGTGTTGCATTTGTTTCTTTTATACTAGGATGTCTTCAATGCCATGGTGTCTCGATTTCAATGTCGTTGTGTCCTTATTGACAGGAAGAGATTGAGAGCAACCCCATGGTGTCCTCTCTCCTCAACAAGCTGGCCAACTACACCAACCTCACCCAGGGGGTCACTGAGCACGAGGAGTACGAGAATGAGGAGGGGGTCACAAAGATTAGAGTCAAGGTACAGTATGACCTTTGTGCATTACTGAGAAGTCATCCCAGTGGTTCAGTAGAAGACAGACAATTGTATTAACTCTCAATCCACTTGACAAGAAAATTGTTGTTGTATCAGAAAAAAAGCTTTATTATTATGGTGCAAACCAACCTTGGCTGGTGAGTGTGATGGCTGTGCAGCAGCTCCTCTGAGAACAGAGTGAGAATTTGAGAATATAATGCAGCATTCTTGTGACCACAGGCTGGGTTCTCTCAGGCTTCTTTTTGGTACAACTGATGCCAGGCCTCGAGCAAACTTCTTTTATATCTGCCTTCACATCCTTTTAGCTGTTGCTACCAATACCAACCAAAGAAATACCCCTACTGTTGCTCTTTAGCGTCAGAGCACCACCGCAAGGCCACAGAAACCATGCCTCTGTCCCCTGACAATTACTCCAGCACACCTCCTTGCTGGAGATCTGATTGGCTTGGGGAGGGAGGTTGTGGAGACAAAGAGTGGATCGTAAAGATGCCACTCCAGGTTGTGAATGGTCTATGAACAAGGGCCACATTGACACTGGTAAAAAGGCGTACATGAGAACCAACAGCAGTATTGAGAGAGGGCTGTGTTGTCTTATGGGATATATGGTATGTACTGTACTGTATTTATGCAGTGGCTGCTTTTTTTGGGTGGGGGGGGGGCACTGTTGATGTTATTGTAGGTGTGTTTGGGAGGGTTCTCTGATCTCAAAAGAGTAGGGGGCGTTGTAACTTTGTGGGGCATACAGGGGGGGGGGGGGGCGCCTGTGTCAGCAATCGGTGGATAACACTGAAATTGTTAATTTATCCTGTGGTGATCAGGGCATGGATTGAATGGCTGTGATGAGGTCAAAACAGATCATTGTAAAGGTAGCCTGTTACTGTACACTGTGTAGCATTGTGTTTGGGTGTTATATTTGGATCGTCCTGCTTTCCGAGCTGTATTACATGCAAACAGAAACGATATAGTATTATTTTACTGACTCGTTCTGTTGATTTCTCTGGAGGACTGCAAGGATCTCAACGTCATGTTTTCAACTTAAAATGCTTTACTGTTATTATATGTGAGAATGAAGGGGTCATGCTGACAATGGGCTGAGCACCGAGGAAGGATTAATCTCAGTTAACCCAGGACTAAAATGTTGCGTAATTTGTACCAGTGATGTTTACTTAGACTGTCCACAAGAGATTAAGGAAGGATTTACTTCTTATGTTTTCTTAAATGCAGAAAGGACATTGCAATGTATTTGAGCAATAAATCTGTCCACTCACTGTCTGAAATGCATGCCAGTGCAAACTTAATCCTATGTCCACTCTCTCCATAGACCCCAGAAATTGAATTATTGAAGTTCTAAATTCCAAACTGTGACGCACATTTATTCTGCAATCAATTTGTCAGTTGCGTTTACATAAAGTTATCAGACAATATTTGTAAAACTTCACTTACAAACACAAGAAGATGGATGGGGGATGGAACAGGCTTAAAACAAAACAACTTGTGTGGTGAGAATTGTTGTAGGGGGATTGGGGTGGTATGGTTTGCATGTGACGGTATTGTATACGTTTAGTGTAATGAGTAACCTAGCTAAATGATGGGGTTTCCTGAAACTGGGTTTGAATCGTATCACTACAGGGCACAGTTAAGCAGCTGACCTCACACCATTGACGTCACCATTGTGTTTTTTATGCTGCCAGTGACCGCGTTCCAACTGAGATGGTTTGATGGTTGCTAATGAGCCAATTATAAAATAAATATTTACCAAATAGTGTACGGCTCTAAGTTTGTCAGCTCTTTTTGCCCACATTACATGTGTAGACTAAAAATAATCTGCCGGATAATGCCAATTGACCTTGTAATCTCAGCTGTAAAATGTATTGTACAGGAGATTTAATCAAGCTAGTCGTCTTGACTACTTTCGAAGGTTAAAAAGTATTGACAGGAGACAGAATGCAATCGGGCCATCATCTAATTGGCCTTCACATGACTCTTACAGAATTTCCACGTGGACGGAGATATTGGACATTTTATCCAAGTCTACTGGAGGAGAATTTATTCTTAACTAAGTCAAATAATTCTTAACTGAATTTTTCCAGTGCAATATAGGTTTAAGCAAATCCCCTTATTGTTTGGGATACCTTTAAATGTACCTTCAGAGGTCATTCAATATTCATCAGTAAAAAAACAAACAGTTTCTGTCTAAAGAGACAAGACTAACAAGGGAAATACACAAACTAATAGTACAGGTAGATAGCAATAAAAACGGTACTACAGAGACACGAATAACAAGTTAGAGGAAAACAAAAAGAACTGGAGGAACTTATTCAAGGATGATCTAATGTAATCTATTACGAAAATAAAGCAAACTGGATGGAATATGGAGAAAAATGCAACAAATTCTTCCTGAATCTCCAACACAGGAATGCTGCCAAAATGAATTTGCAGAAACCCGTTACTAAAGACGGAGTCAGCTATGATTCTCTGAATTATATTTTAAAAGAGGAAGCTAAATATTTTAAGCAGAAGTTTTACAGAGGAATAACTTTTTCAGACTGAATTCTATCAGTCTGGAAAAAACCCAGGGCTTGAAGTTAAACGGGTAGAGGTATATCAAGCCTTTTTTATATACTCAAAGCTCCATTATTAGCATGTTTTATCTACTATAGAAATGGTAGTCTGTCAGGTACTCAGTAGAAAGTTCTGATTTTACTATTATTAAAACAAGACCCAGATGGCAAATCTAAAGATCCAGTCCATCTAAAAAACTGGAGGCCTCTTACACGTCAATGTTGTGATTCAAAAATACTAGTGAAATATATAGCACTCAGAATTAAAAAGGTTTTACCGGGTATTGTTTATCCTGATCAGACAGGTTTTTTACATGGATGATACATTGGAGATAATATACGACAACTAGTAGAAATAATAGAACAACATGAAACATCTAAGAAACCAGGCCTGCTATTTATAGCAGATTTTTAAAAGGACTTTGATAAAGTAAGACTGGATTTTATATACATTGCATTCGTAAAATATTCAGACCCCTTGACTTTTTCCACATTTTGTTACGTTACAGCCTTATTCTAAAATTGATTAAATTGTTGTTTCACCAAATCTACACACAATACCCCATTTTGTGTGTGTGCAAATGTATATATATAAAAAACGGAAATATCACATTTGCATAAGTATTCAGACCCTTTACTCAGTACTTTCAAATCAAATGTTATTTGTCAGATACACGTGTTTAGCAGATGTTATTGCGGGTGTAGCGAAATGCTTGTGCTTCTAGCTCCGACAGTGCAGTAATATCTAAAAAGTAATATCTAACAACTTCACAACATATACCCAATGCACACAAATCTAAGTAAGGAATGGAATTATGAATATATACATATATGGACGAGCAATGACAGAGCGGCATGGACTAAAATACAGTAGAATATTATAGAATGCAGTATATACATATGAGATGACTAATGCAAGATATGTAAACATTATTAAAGTGACTAGTGTTCCATTTCTTAAAGTGGTCAGTGATTTCAATAGGCAGCAGCAGCCTCTAATGTGCTAGTGATGGCTATTTAACAGTCTGATGGCCTTGAGATAGAAGCTGTTTTTCAGTCTCTCGGTCCCCGCTTTGATGCACCTGTACTGACCTTGCCTTCTGGATGATAGCGGGGTGAACAGGCAGTGGCTCAGGTAGTTGATCTCCTTGATGATCTTTTTGGCCTTCCTGTGACATCGGGTGCTGTAGGTGTCCTGGAGGGTGGGTAGTTTGCCCCCAGTAATGTATTCGGCAGACCGCACCACTCTCTGGAGAGCCCTGCGGTTGCGGGTGGTGCAGTTGCCGTACCAGGTGGTGATGCAGCCCAACAGGATGCTCTTAATTGTGCATCTGTAAAAGTTTGTGGGTTTTAAGTGCCAAGCCAAATTTCTTCAGCCTCCTGAGGTTGAAGAGTCTCTGTTGCGTCTTCTTCACCACACTGTCTGTGTGGGTGAATCAATTCAGTTTGTCAGTGATGTGTACGCCAAGGAACTTGAAGCATTCTACCTTCTCCACTGCTGTCCCGTCGATGTGGATAGGGGGGTGCACCCTCTGCTGTTTCCTTAAGTCCACGATCATCTCCTTTGTTTTGTTGACATTGAGTGAGAGGTTATTTTCCTGGCGCCACACTCCCAGAGCCCTCACCTCCTCCCTGTAGGCTGTCTCGTCATTGTTGGTAATCAAGCCTACTACTGTTGTGTCGTCTGCAAACTTGATGATTTGAGTTGGAGGCGTGCTTGGCCACGCAGTCATGGGTGAACAGGGAGTACAGGAGGGGGCTGAGCATGCACCCTTGAGGGGCCCCAGTGTTGAGGATCAGTGAAGTGGAGATGTTGTTTCCTACCTTCACCACCTGGGGGTGGCATGTCAGGAGGTCCAGGACCCAGTTGCACAGGGTGGGGTTCAGACCCAGGGCCTCCAGCTTAATGATGAGCTTGGAGGGTACTATGGTGTTGAATGCTGAGTTATAGACAATGAACAGCATTCTTACATACAGTGGGGAGAACAAGTATTTGATACACTGCCGATTTTGCAGGTTTTCCTACTTACAAAGCATGTAGAGGTCTGTATTTTATCATAGGTACACTTCAACTGAGAGACGGAATCTAAAACAAAAATCCAGAAAATCACATTGTATGATTTTTAAGTAAATAATTTGCATTTTATTGCATGACATAAGTATTGGATCACCTACCAACCAGTAAGAATTCCGGCTCTCACAGACCTGTTAGTTTTTTTAAAAGAAGCCCTCCTGTTCTCCACTCATTACCTGTATTAACTGCACCTGTTTGAACTCGTTGCCTGTATAAAAGACACCTGTCCACACACTCAATCAAACAGACTCCAACCTCTCCACAATGGCCAAGACCAGAGAGCTGTGTAAGGACATCAGGGATAAAATTGTAGACCTGCACAAGGCTGGGATGGGCTACAGGACAATAGGCAAGCAGCTTGGTGAGAAGGCAACAACTGTTGGCGCAATTAGTAGAAAATGGAAGAAGTTCAAGATGACGGTCAATCACCCTCGGTCTGGGGCTCCATGCAAGATCTCACCTCGTGGGGTATCAATGATCATGAGGAAGGTGAGGGATCAGCCCAGAACTACACGGCAGGACCTGGTCAATGACCTGAAGAGAGCTGGGACCACAGTCTCAAAGAAAACCATTAGTAACACACTACGCCGTCATGGATTAAAATCCTGCAGCGCACGCAATGTCCCCCTGCTCAAGCCAGCGCATGTCCAGGCCCGTCTGAAGTTTGCCAATGACCATCTGGATGATCCAGAGGAGGAATGGGAGAAGGTCATGTGGTCTGATGAGACAAAAATATAGCTTTTTGGTCTAAACTCCACTCGCCGTGTTTGGAGGAAGAAGAAGGATGAGTACAACCCCAAGAACACCATCCCAACCGTGAAGCATGGTGGTGGAAACATAATGGATGCTTTTTTATGCAAAGGGGACAGGACGACTGCACCGTATTGAGGGGAGGATGGATGGGGCCATGTATCGCGAGATCTTGGCCAACAACCTCCTTCCCTCAGTAAGAGCATTGAAGATGGGTCGTGGCTGGGTTTTCCAGCATGACAACGACCCGAAACACACAGCCAGGGCAACTAAGGAGTGGCTCCGTAAGAAGCATCTCAAGGTCCTGGAGTGGCCTAGCCAGTCTCCAGGCCTGAACCCATTAGAAAATCTTGCTGAAAGTCCGCATTGCCCAGCGACAGCCCCGAAACCTGAAGGATCTGGAGAACGTCTGTATGGAGGAGTGGGCCAAAATCCCTGCTGCAGTGTGTGCAAACCTGGTCAAGACCTACAGGAAACTTATGATCTCTGTAATTGCAAACAAAGGTTTCTGTACCAAATATTAAGTTCTGCTTTTCTGATGTATCAAATACTTATGTCATGCAATAAAATGCAAATTAATTACTTAAAAATCATACAATGTGATTTTCTGGATTTTTGTTTTAGATTCCGTCTCTCACAGTTGAAGTGTACCTATGATAAAAATTACAGACCTCTACATGCTTTGTAAGTAGGAAAACCTGCAAAATCGGCAGTGTATCAAATACTTGTTCTCCCCACTGTTTGTATTCCTCTTGTCCAGGTGGGATAGGACAGTGTGCAGTGTGATGGCGATTGCATCGTCTGTGGATCTATTGGGGCGGTAAGCAAATTGAAGTGGGTCTAGGGTGACCGGTAAGGTAGAGGTGATATGACAACAAAAAAAGATGATCCTTGACTAGTCTCTCAAAGCACTTCATGATGACAGAGGTGAGTGCTACGGGACGATAGTCATTTAGTCCAGTCCCTTTTGCTTTCTTGGGTACTTGAACAATGGTGGCCATCTTGAAGCATGCGGGGACAGCAGACTGGGATAGGGAGAGATTGAATATGTCTGTAAACACACCAGCCAGCTGGTCTGCGCATGCTCTGAGGACGCGGCTAGGGATGCTGTCTGGGCCGGCAGCCTTGCGGGGGTTAACATGCTTAAATGTCTTACTCACGTCGGCCACGGAGAAGGACCTTTTGGCAGTGATTACATCCTCGAGGCTTCTTGGGTATGACGCTACAAGCTTGGGGCACATGTATTTGGCGAGTTTCTCCCATTCTTCTCTGCAGATCCTCTCAAGCTCTGGCAGGTTGTATGGGGAGCATCCCTGCACAGCTATTTTCAGGTCTCTCCAGAGATGTTCGAGTGGGTTCAAGTCTGGGCTCTGGCTGGGCCACTCAAGGACATTCAGAGACTTGTCCCGATGCCATTCCTGCGTTGTCTTGGCTGTGTGCTTAGGGTTGTTGTCCTTTTAGAAGGTGAACCTCCACCCCAGTCTGAGGTCCTGAGTGCTCTGGAGCATCTTTCCTTCAATGATCTTTCTCTTCCCTTGATCCTGACTATTCTCTGCCACTGAAAAACATCCCAAAGCATGATGCTGCCACCACCATGCTTCACGGTAGGGATGGTGCCAGGTTTCCTCCAGACGTGACGCTTGGTATTCAGGCCAAAGAGTTCAATCTTGGTTTCATCAGACCAGATAATCTTGTTTCTCATGGTCTGAGAGTCCTTTAGGTGCCTTTTGGCAAACTCAAAGCGGACTGTCATGTGCCTTTTATTGAAGAGTGGCTTCCGTCTGGCCACTCTACCATAAAGGCCTGATTGTTGGAGTGCTGCAGAGATGGTAGTCTTTCTGGAAGGTTCTCCCATCTCCCCAGAGGAACTCTGGAGCTCTTTCAGAGTGACAATTTGGGTTCTTGGTCACCTCCCTGACCAATGCCCTTGTCTCCCGATTGCTCAGTTTGGCCGGGCGGCCAGCTCTAGGAAGAGTCTTGGTGGTTCCAAACTTCTTCCATTTAAAAATGATGGAGGCCACTGTGTTCTTGGGGACCTTCAATGCTGCATAACTTTTTTGGTACCCTTCCCCAGATCTGTGCCTTGACACAATCCTGTCTCGGAGCTCTACGGACAATTCCTTCGACCTCATAGCTTGTTTTTTGCTCTGACATGCACTGTCAACTGTGGGACCTTATATAGAAGGTGTGTGCCTTTCCAAATTATGTTCAATCAATTGAATCTACCACAGGTGGACTCCAATCAAGTTGTAGAAATATCTCAAGGATAATCAATGGAAACAGGATGCACCTGAGCTCAATTTCGAGTCTCATAGCAAAGGGTCTGAATACTTATAAGGTATTTCAGTTTTTTCTTTTTAATACATTTGCTAACATTTCTAAAAACCTGTTTTTGCTTTGTCAAGATGGGGTATTGTGTGGAGATTGGTTAGGGGAAAAAAACAATTTTATAAATTTTATAATAAGGCTGTAATATAACAAAATGTGGAAAAATTGAAGAGCTCGGGAAATACTTTCCGAATGCACTGTATAAATGCCTGGATTTTCTTCAATTTCAGTGAGACTCTTATTCAATGGGTAAAAGTAATGTATAGCAACCCCAGGTGTAAAATAGTAAATAGTGGCCACTTCTCAGACAGTTTTGAATTGTCAAGAGGAGTTAAACAAGGGTGTCTGCTGTCACCATATCTATTCGTTATGGCCATCAAAATGCTAACTATTAAAATCAGATCAAATAACAACATTAGAGGATTAGAAATCCAAGGCTTAAAAACAAAGGTGACCGTGTATGCCGACGACTCAAGTTTTATATTAAGTCCGCAAGCTAGATCCCTGCAATATCTCATTGAAGGTAACACTTCTGGACTCTCTGGGCTAAAACCTAATTATGGTAAGTGTAACATATTACGTATTAAAACATTAATTTCAATAGGTAACTAGTAGAAATAGACAAGATCCTGCAACCATGGAGAGGTAAATACCGGTCTATTTATGGAAGAATTACACTGATTAACTCCTTAGTCATATCTCATTTTACTCACTTACATATGGCGCTAGCTACTCCTGAAACTTTTTACTTAGATTACTAAGAAAAGCTTATCCATTATAAAAAAATGGCCTTTTTGCCTTTGTGCAGATTGCCATGTCTAATTTTCATTTTTTTTAAATAAAACCTTTTTCAAAGTATCTCTCTTTTTCAAACAAGCATTGCAGAGCTGGTTACAATACCAATTTCATCCCCCTGAAAAGATAGAATAAATATGACAATAAATATTATGGTTGAACTCAAATGTGCCGGTTGAGAAAATACCTGTATTTATGGAAAATATATTTGAAAAAGGGTATTTTGTTTTTAAATGATATTGGAATGGTAGAGTTATGAATTGTATGGGAAGGTCTGCTCAATCGAGCCGATAGGTCGCTGGTTTGGGTCCCTGTTTTGACTTGGTGGGAGATCTGTGAACGTGCCCTTGGGTAGGGTGTTGACCCTGGTTGCTTCTGTGGGCCGCTCTGTTAGATGACTGAATGTAATGTAAATGTTGAGCGGCTTCACTACAGGTAGATTGTATGTTTTAATATTCAATAAATGAAAAATAAATAAAAATAAAATAAAATACAGGATTGTACAATATTATATTGTATTGTACTCTTTATTGCGGCGTTACAGTATACCTTACAAGGCCCTACTGTACCATAACCTGACTCATGGTAATCCTATCTCCTCTTCCCTGGCCCTCTACATTGGCACCTCTAGAGTCCTCAGATGGGCACATTCATCGGTGTGTACCTGCCCTGCATGCAGAACCTCCTGGGAGTCATCCTCTTCCTGCGTCTTACCTGGATCGTTGGCACCGCTGGCATCATGGAGTCCTTCGCTATTGTCGTCATGTGCTGCACCTGTGTGAGTACTTTTCAATAGAACTATGTAAGAGTACTAAGGTGTGAGTAATATAGGTCTACAATACATCTAGTATGACTATTTACTTTCCTCCCTTTTGACTACCGTAATTTTCGGACTATAAACCGCGCCTTTTTCCCATTTTTCGACCCTGCGGCTTATATAACGGTGCGGCTAATCTATGGATTTTTACAGCTAACGGCCACTAGAAGACCTCCTAAATCTATGGATTTTACAGGTTACAGTCCACCAACTTTAACTCTATGGGCTCTATGACCGGTCCGCGCCCCCCACCTTTAAGCGGCGGGCTCCAGCAGGAAAAGCTGGAGGCCGGAAAAGAGTGAGACGGGTATCGCGTGGAACCGAGAGTGGTACGAGAGACAGAACGAGAGACAGAACGAGAGCAAGACAGACAGACATTACGAGAGCGAGACAGTTTGTCTCTTTCCCGACAATCCCCTCTGTGCACGAACCCTTACATATGGTAATTAAACATTAAAACACCTGCGGCTTATAGTCCAGTGCGGCTTATATATGTACACATCATTCAATATCATTCAATTTAGCTGCTGCGGCTTATACTCCGGTGCGCCTTATAGTGCGGAAAATACGGTATTTACTTTCCTTTCTTTTTTTTCTTCTTTATTGGGGGTGGGGGAGTTTACCCCCCTTTTTTTCTCCCCAATTTCGTGGTATCCAATTGGTAGTTACAGTCTTGTCCCATCGCTGCAACTCCCGTACGGACACGGGAGAGGCGAAGGTCGAGAGTCGTGCGTCCTCCGAAACACAACCCAACCTAGCCGCACTGCTTCTTGACACAGTGCCCACTTAACCCGGAAGCCAGCCGCACCAATGTGCCGGAGGAAACACCGTACACCTGGCGACCGAGTTAGCGTGCCAAACCCTCCCCTACCCTGGACGGCGCTGGGCCAATTGTGCGCCACCCCATGGGTCTCCCGGTCGCGGCCGGCTACGACAGAGCTCTAACCAGGATCTCTAGTGGCACAGCTAGCACTGCGATGCAGTGCCTTAGACCACTGCGCCACTCGGGAGGCACTTTACTTTTCTTTCTTTTGGGGAGTTTCATGTACTATACTGTAGTATTCTCTGTCTATCTTAGCCATCTCATTTTTCACTCCCTGAGGAAATTGTATCCATACACCCAACAATGCTAGTATTTTGTATTTTTTCCTCCCTTACAGACCATGCTGACAGCGATATCAATGAGCGCTATTGCAACAAATGGTGTAGTGCCAGGTAATGCCAGTTCAACTTATTTTCACCTTGAATAAGAAACCTCAACCTGTGATTTTATGGAGACATGGTTATTTAACACTATAGTACTGTCAATATTTTACCTTGGTGGTTTACTTTGGTGGTTTTACCTGGATCTGTTCTCTTTCCCCATGCAGCCGGAGGCTCCTACTACATGATCTCCAGGTCTTTGGGACCAGAGTTTGGTGGGGCTGTGGGCTTGTGCTTCTACCTTGGCACAACGTTCGCTGGCTCCATGTACATTCTGGGTACTATTGAAATCCTACTGGTAAGGATGGAACAGAATGCCTGGTCATGATATACTGTAGGATGTACACAATGTTTCGAGCCAGGCGTTTTTAATGACCGCATGACTCTTCCAGAAGTTGATACCTTGTTATAGCCTATAACAATGGCCCAGAGTTTTTCCTGAACATGTCACATGGTCAGGCCCAAACAATGTTTCATGAAGTTAGTGTCCTAGCTGTCTCCTATTCTTGTTCCAGACGTACATCGTGCCGAACAATGCAGTGTTTGTGGCAGAGAAGAAGGAGGACGAGACGGAAGCCATGCTGAATAACATGCGTGTGTACGGGACCTGCTGTCTGGCACTTATGGCTCTAGTGGTGTTTGTGGGGGTCAGATATGTCAACAAGCTGGCCCTGGTCTTCCTGACCTGTGTGGTGCTCTCCATCATGGCTATCTACGCCGGAGTCATCAAGACCGTCATAGAACGACCAGACTTCCCGTGAGTTCGATTTATGAGTTATAGTTAGTCTATTGGCATAGGAAATGCTTGTGCCTATGTTTGTCTAGTCAGAGTAATATGCACACTGTATATGACCAGTCATCTGATCTTATAGGGCTGATATCAGAGAGACACATATTAATAGACTCTTTTATGCAGCGGTTACAGTGGCCAAAAGGAAAATATTATATTTTCTTTACACAAGAAAATCTCCTTATGGATATTTGTATGTTTCCTACAGAATCTGTCTCCTGGGGAACCGTTCCTTGCAGAACCACAACTTTGAGAAGTGTTTGAAGACTGAGGTGATCAAGAACGTGACGTATACCACCAAGCTGTGGGAGCTGTTCTGTGGCAGCCCCCACCTCAACGCTACCTGTGATGAATATTTTACCCTGAACAACGTGACTGAGATCCAGGGCATCCCAGGCCTGCTCAGCGGGGTCATCAAAGGTCAGCCACAACCCACTGTCTGGGGAACATTACTACACTGGACAGGCTTGGTGAAGACCAACACAGTAGAAATGTTACCAGGCCTACTACATTCTTACTACTAGTTACTCACTTACCATGGTCATATCATAACTTATCAAAGTATTATCATGAACAACGCAGACTGGGAAGAGACACACACACACAGGCACACACACACGCTAACACACGTACATTGTAATGTTATAATATTGTTGCATTGTGGTATTATACATGTTGTATTGTAGATATTTAGTGGTAGAGTAGTGGTGTAATAATGTGTTACAGTGAGGGAAAAAAAGTATTTGATCCCCTTTGCCCACTGACAAAGACATGATCAGTCTATAATTTGAATGGTAGGTTTATTTGAACAGTGAGAGACAGAATAACAACATAAAATTCCAGAAAAACGCATGTCAAAAATGTTATAAATTGATTTGCATTTTAATGAGGGAAATAAGTATTTGACCCCTCTGCAAAACATGACTTAGTACTTGGTGGCAAAAAATCACAGAGGTCAGACGTTTCTTGTAGTTGGCCACCAGGTTTGCACACATCTCAGGAGGGATTTTGTCCCACTCCTCTTTGCAGATCTTCTCCAAGTCATTAAGGTTTCGAGGCTGACGTTTGGCAATTAGAGGATGAGGATCTCATCTCGGTACCTAATGGCAGTCAGGCTTCCTCTGGCGAGCACATGGAGGCTCCTGAGTGGCGCAGTGGTCTAAGGCACTGCATCGCAGTGCTAACTGTGCCACTAGAGATCCTGGTTCGAATCCAGGCTCTGTCGCAGCCGGCCGCGACCGGGAGACTCATGGGCGGCGCACAATTGGCCCAGCGTCGTCCAGGGTAGGGGAGGGAATTGTTGCCCTCCTACGGCCTCCTCCACGTCTCCTGATGTACTGGCCTGTCTCCTGGTAGCGCCTCCATGCTCTGGACACTACGCTGACAGACACAGCAAACCTTCTTGCCACAGCTCGCATTGATGTGCCATCCTGGATGAGCTGCACTACCTGAGCCACTTGTGAAATGTATTGTCAATCAGTGTTGCTTCCTAAGTGGACAGTTTGATTTCACAGAAGTGTGATTGACTTGGAGTTACATTGTGTTGTTTAAGTGTTCCCTTTATTTTTTTGAGCAGTGTATTTTTTAAATGGTGATGTAGTTGCCTTAATCTTGTTTGGACCCCAGCAACCGTAGCTGCTGCCTTGGCAGTGGCTAATGGGGATCCTTATACAAATTCCAGGTTTGTCTTCTCAACCTGTTGTTTGAATTAGGAAGTCAAAATAGTTCTATCTTTTTTTGTGTTATTTCTCAATTGGAATACATGTGTTATTGCATAATACAAATGTTTAAATGGCTAATGACAAAACATTTGGATATAAACAGTTTATAGTCTACTATAATGTGACTCCTCTGTGTCCCCCTTAGACAACATGTGGGGTGACTACGGGCCGAGTGGGATGTTGGTAGAGAAGAAGAATCTGTCGTCTGTCCCAGCCCAGGATAACTCCAGAGATATCTACAAGCCTTACATCTTCAATGACATCTCAACCTTCTTCACTCTGCTGGTGGGAATCTACTTCCCCTCTGTCACAGGTTGGTATATCGGCCATATTGGCACCATAGACATAATGTAGCTACCATAATATTACATTATTTATTGATTGGCACCCTCAAGCAGATTGTAGCGGTGCTACTGTAACTTACGGTTTGGAAGAACTATGTATTTTCTGTTATGGTGTTTTCTGCTTCATGTATGATAGTGATTTCCTGAATTTCAACTTCTGTACAGTGGGGGAAAAAAGTATTTAGTCAGCCACCAATTGTGCAAGTTCTCCCACTTAAAAAGATGAGAGGCCTGTAATTTTCATCATAGGTACACGTCAACTATGACAGACAAAATGAGAAAAATAAATCCAGAAAATCACATTGTAGGATTTTTTATGAATTTATTTGCAAATTATGGTGGAAAATAAGTATTTGGTCAATAACAAAAGTTTCTCAATACTTTGTTATATACCCTTTGTTGGCAATGACACAGGTCAAACGTTTTCTGTAAGTCTTCACAAGGTTTTCACACACTGTTGCTGGTATTTTGGCCCATTCCTCCATGCAGATCTCCTCTAGAGCAGTGATGTTTTGGGGCTGTCGCTGGGCAACACAGACTTTCAACTCCCTCCAAAGATTTGCTATGGGATTAAGGTCTGGAGACTGGCTAGGCCACTCCAGGACCTTGAAATGCTTCTTACGAAGCCACTCTTTCGTTGCCCGGGCGGTGTGTTTGGGATCATTGTCATGCTGAAAGACCCAGCCACGTTTCATATTCAATGCCCTTGCTGATGGAAGGAGGTTTTCACTCAAAATCTCACGATACATGGCCCCATTCATTCTTTCCTTTACACGGATCAGTCGTCCTGGTCCCTTTGCAGAAAAACAGCCCCAAAGCATGATGTTTCCACCCCCATGCTTCACAGTAGGTATGGTGTTCTTTGGATGCAACTCAGCATTCTTTGTCCTCCAAACACGACGGGTTGAGTTTTTACCAAAAAGTTGTATTTTGGTTTCATCTGACCATATGACATTCTCCCAATCCTCTTCTGGATCATCCAAATGCACTCTAGCAAACTTCAGACGGGCCTGGACATGTACTGGCTTAAGCAGGGGGACACGTCTCGCACTGCAGGATTTGAGTCCCTGGCGGCGTAGTGTGTTACTGATGGTAGGCTTTGTTACTTTGGTCCCAGCTCTCTGCAGGTCATTCACTAGGTCCCCCCGTGTGGTTCTGGGATTTTTGCTCACCGTTCTTATGATCATTTTGACCCCACGGGGTGAGATCTTGCGTGGAGCCCAAGATCGAGGGAGATTATCAGTGGTCTTGTATGTCTTCCATTTCCTAATAATTGCTCCCACAGTTGATTTCTTCAAACCAAGCTGCTTACCTATTGCAGATTCAGTCTTCCCAGCCTGGTGCAGGTCTACAATTTTGTTTCTGGTGTCCTTTGACAGCTCTTTGGTCTTGGCCATAGTGGAGTTTGGAGTGTGACTGTTTGAGGTTGTGGACAGGTGTCTTTTATACTGATAACAAGTTCAAACAGGTGCCATTAATACAGGTAACGAGTGGAGGACAGAGGAGCCTCTTAAAGAAGTTACAGGTCTGTGAGAGGCAGACATTTTGCTTGTTTGTAGGTGACCAAATACTTATTTTCCACCATAATTTGCAAATAAATTCATTAAAAATCCTACAATGTGATTTTCTGGAATTTTTTTCTCCTCATTTTGTCTGTCATAGTTGACTTGTACCTATGATGAAAATTACAGGCCTCTCTCATCTTTTTAAGTGGGAGAACTTGAACAATTGGTGGCTGACTAAATACTTTTTCCCCCACTGTATGTGTGTGTTTCTGTCACAGGAATCATGGCGGGCTCCAACAGATCTGGAGACCTGAGAGATGCCCAGAGATCTATTCCCATCGGCACCATCCTGGCCATAGCAACTACTTCTTTTATTTGTATCCTTGGGGAAACCGGTGTGGTGTGTTTGTGTGTGGTGTGTGTCCATGTATGATCTGTGATAAAGCACTATTTCTATCTTAAACACAACTCCCAGACATGACCTGTGTGGTCCTATTTGGTGCCTGTATCGAGGGTGTCGTTTTGAGAGACAAGTAAGTACTATTTAAGCATTATCTTTATAATGAAAAGTGCTATATAAAATACAGTGCCTTGCAAAAGTATTCATCCCCCTTGGTGTTTTTCCTATTTTGTTGCATTACAACCTGTAATTTAAATGGATTTTTATTTGCATTTAATGTAATGGACATACACAAAATAGTCCAAATTGGTGAAGTGGAATGAAAAAAATTACTTGTTTTCAAAAAAGTGTAAAAACAAAAAAATGGAAAAGTGGTACGTGCATATGTATTCACCCCTTTTTGCTATGATGCCCCTAAATAAGATCTGGTGCAACCAATTACCTTCAGAAGTCACAGAGTCTGCAACAACACTAAGCAAGAGGCACCACCAAGGAAGCGGCACCATGAAGACCAAGGAGCTCTCTAAACAGGTCAGGGACTAAGTTGTGGAGAAGTACAGATCAGGGTTGGGTTATAAAAAAATATCCAAAACTTTGAACATCCCAAGGAGCACCATTGAATCCATTATTAAAAAATGGAAAGAATATGGCACCACAACAAACCTGCTAAGAGATGGCCGCCCACCAAAACTCACAGACCAGGCAAGGAGGGCATTAATCAGAGAGGCAACAAAGAGACCAAAGATAACCATGAAGGAGCTGCAAAGCTCCACAGCGGAGATTGGAGTATCTGTCCATAGGACCACTTTAAGCCGTACACTCCACAGAGCTGGGCTTTACAGAAGAGTGAAAAAAAAGCCATTGCTTAAAGAAAAAAAGAACCAAACACCAGCGGAACCCATCCAACTTGAAGGAGCTGGAGCAGTTTTGCCTTGAAGAATGGGCAAATATCCCAGTGGCTAGATGTGTCAATTTTATAGAGACATACCCCAAGAGACTAGTAGCTGTAGTTGCTGCAAAAGGTGGCTCTTCAAAGTGGTAGGCATGTTGTTTAAATCAATGAAACAACCCCCCCAAAAAACAATTTTAATTCCAGATTGTAAGGCAAGAAAATAGTAAAAATGCCAAGGGGGGTGAATACTTTCGCAAGCCACTGTACATCTATTATTATTATTATTATTATTATTATTCCACAGTTAGTATTCCAAGTAAGTACTATTATTATTTACAACATGTCAATAGCTGTTATGTCATTATGTAACTTTGATGCGGAAGCCTTCACTGCTCTGTATCATTTCTATATCAAATATCTATTTGTGTCATTCATACAGATAGCCCCTTGTTGCGCATTTAGAAGGAAAGACTGCACGTAAACGGACAGCGTTGTAAAGAGAACATTGTGTGCCAATAAGTTCAATGTCATGATGTAGGGTGTTTAGCTGTTCTGTCCCAATCAGCCTAAGCTTATTACATGGGTTTTTCATGATGTGTACAGTATGTGCTCAGATTTATGTCTCTCAATTTGTCTGTCTTTCTTTCAGTCTAGTTCTGTTCTGTACAATATCAAATAAAATACAATTTTATTGGCTACATGCGCCAAATACAACAGGTGCAGACATTACAGTGAAATGCTTACTTACAGCCCTTAACCAACAGTGCATTAATTTTTTTATAAAAAAGTTAAATAAAACAACAACAAAAAAATTGTTGAATAAAAGAGCAGAAGTAAAATAAAATAACAGTAGGGAGGCTATATATACAGGGGGGTACCGGTGCAGAGTCAATGTGCGGGGGCACCGGCTAGTTGAGGTAGTTGAAGTAATATGTACATGTGGGTAGAGTTAAAGTGACTATGCATAAATAATTAACAGAGTAGCAGCAGCGTAAAAAGATGGGGTGGGGGGCAGTGCAAATAGTCCGGGTAGCCATGATTAGCTGTTCAGGAGTCTTATGGCTTGGGGGTAGAAGCTGTTGAGAAGTCTTTTGGACCTAGACTTGGCACTCCGGTACCGCTTGCCGTGCGGTAGCAGAGAGAACAGTCTATGACTAGGGTGGCTGGAGTCTTTGGCAATTTTGAGGGCCTTCCTCTGACACCGCCTGGTATAGAGGTCCTGGATGGCAGGAAGCTTGGCCCCAGTGATGTACTGGGCCGTACGCACTACCCTCTGTAGTGCCTTGCGGTCGGAGGCCAAGCAGTTGCCATACCAGGCGGTGATGCAACCAGTCAGGATGCTCTTGATGGTGTAGCTGTAGAATTTTTTCAGGATCTGAGGACCCATACCAAATCTTTTCAGTCTCCTGAGGGGGAATAGGCTTTGTCGTGCCCTCTTCACGACTGTCTTGGTGTGTTTGGACCATGATAGTTCGTTGGTGATGTGGACACCAAGGAACTTGAAGCTCTCAACCTGTTCCACTACAGCCCCGTCGATGAGAATGGGGGTGTGCTCAGTCCTCTTTTTTTTTCCTGTAGTCCACAATCATCTCCTTTGTCTTGGTCACGTTGAGGGAGAGGTTGTTATCCTGGCACCACACGGCCAGGTCTCTGACCTCCTCCCTATACAGTACCTGTGTTTTGTATAACATTCAACTGTGTGTGTTTCTGCTACAGGTTTGGGGACTCGGTTAAGAAGAACTTGGTGATTGGAACTCTGGCATGGCCTTCTCCGTGGGTAATCGTGATTGGCTCCTTCTTCTCCTGCTGTGGGGCAGGGCTGCAGAGTCTCACCGGCGCCCCTCGCCTGTTGCAGGCCATAGCACGCGATGGGATCGTCCCCTTCCTGCAGGTAAGAAGGTCCTATAGACTCTGTCCTTGCTATTGCATCTGGACAACAGAAACACTTCAGCTAGTCTCTCTCTCTCTCTCTCTCTCTCTCTCTCTCTCTCTCTCTCTCTCTCTCTCTCTCTCTCTCTCCCCCCCCCTTTAGGTGTTTGGTCATGGTAAAGCCAATGGGGAACCTACCTGGGCCCTCTTGATGACTGCTGGGATCTGTGAGATTGGAATCCTCATTGCATCACTGGATGCTGTTGCCCCCATTCTCTCAATGTGAGTGTTTCGCTCATTGTGAATAATCTTGCCTCAATGCGAGTATTTATTTTCTTCACGGTCTGTGTGTAAATCTACCAAATGTGAGTTTGTGTCAGGTGTTTCAGTTGTTTATTTTGTTTTGTTTTTTACTTCATGAATTCTATAGTGCTTACAGTGAGGGAAAAAAGTATTTGATCCCCTGCTGATTTTGCACGTTTGCCCACTGACAAAGACATGATCCTGAGTTCGAATCCAGGCTCTGTTGTAGCCGGCCGCGACCGGGAGACCCATGGGGCGGCGCACAATTGGCCCAGCGTCGTCCAGGGTAGGGGAGGGAATGGCCGGCAGGGGATGTAGCTCAGTTGGTAGAGCATGGCGTTTGCAACGCCAGGGTTGTGGGTTCGATAAAGTAATGTATGCGCTAACTGTAAGTCGCTCTGGATAAGAGCGTCTGCTAAATGACTAAAATGTAAATGTAAATGTAATGATCAGTCTATACTTTTAATGGTAGGTTTATTTGAACAGTGAGTGACAGAATAATAACAAAAAAATCCAGAGAAACGCATGTCAAAAATGTTATAAATTGATTTGCATTTTAATGAGGGAAATAAGTATTTGACCCCTCTGCAAAACATGACTTTGTACTTGGTGGCAAAACCCTTGTTGGCAATCACAGAGGTCAGACGTTTTCTGTAGTTGGCCACCAGGTTTGCACACATCTCAGGAGGGATTTTGTCCCACTCCTCTTTGCAGATCTTCTCCAAGTCATTAAGGTTTCGAGGCTGACGTTTGGCAACTCGAACAGCTCCCTCCACAGATTTTCTATGGGATTAAGGTCTGGAGACTGGCTAGGCCACTCCAGGACCTTAATGTGCTTCTTCTTGAGCCACTTCTTTGTTGCCTTGGCCGTGTGTTTTGGGTCATTGTCATGCTGGAATACCCATCCACGACCCATTTTCAATGCCCTGGCTGAGGGAAGGAGGTTCTCACCCAAGATTTGACGGTACATGGCCCCGTCCATCGTCCCTTTGATGTTGTCCTTAGCAGAAAAACACCCCCAAAGCATAATGTTTCCACCTCCATGTTTGACGGTGGGGGATAGTGTTCTTGGGGTCATAGGCAGCATTCCTCCTCCTCCAAACACGGCGAGTTGAGTTGATGCCAAAGAGCTCCATTTTGGTCTCATCTGACCACAACACTTTCACCCAGTTCTCCTCTGAATCATTCAGATGTTCATTGGCAAACTTCAGACGGCCCTGTATATGTGCTTTCTTGAGCAGGGGGACCTTGCGGGCGCTGCAGGATTTCAGTCCTTCACGGCGTAGTGTGTTACCAATTGTTTTCTTGGTGACTATGGTCCCAGCTGCCTTGAGATCATTGACAAGATCCTCCCGTGTTGTTCTGGGCTGATTCCTCACCGTTCTCATGATCATTGCAACTCCACGAGGTGAGATCTTGCATGGAGCCCCAGGCCGAGGGAGATTGACAGTTATTTTGTGTTTCTTCCATTTGCGAATAATCGCACCAACTGTTGTCACCTTCTCACCAAGCTGCTTGGCGATGGTGTTGTAGACCATTCCAGCCTTGTGTGGGTCTACAATCTTGTCCCTGACATCCTTGGAGAGCTCTTTGGTCTTGGCCATGGTGGAGAGTTTGGAATCTGATTGATTGATTGCTTCTGTGGACAGGTGTCTTTTATACAGGTAATAAACTGAGATTAGGAGCACTCCCTTTTAGTCACCTGGGAGCCAGAAATCTTTCTGATTGAGAGGGGGTCAAATACTTATTTCCCTCATTAAAATGCAAATCAATTTATAACATTTTTGACATGTGTTTTTCTGGATTTTTTTGTTGTTATTCTGTCTCTCACTGTTCAAATAAACCTACCATTTAAAATTATAGACTGATCATTTCTTTGTCAGTGGGCAAACATACAAAATCAGCAGGGGATCAAATACTTTTTTCCCTCACTGTACCTGAGTATTGTTTGAATTGCAAGGGAAATCCCAATCCTTTCTCCTCTGTGAATCCTACCTCTCATTGCCCTTTTAAAAGGCCTGTTGGTCTGAAGTAAGTCACTTTTCTTTGTCTTTTCTGTGGGGATGGGTTTCAGGTTTTTCCTGATGTGCTACCTGTTTGTCAACCTAGCCTGTGCCGTCCAGACACTGCTACGCACTCCCAACTGGAGGCCCAGGTTTAAGTTCTACCACTGGTGAGTTCATTTCTCATTCCAAAAGCACCAAATGCTATTATATTCCATTCTGGACCTTTGGACCCACAAGGAGTGCAGGTGTTTTTTTCAACAAAGCACTAACCCACCTGATTCACCCAATCAACTAATCATCAAGCCCTTGATTAATTAAATCAGGTGTGTTAGTGTTTGTATGGTATAAAAGTAGATGTCCAAGAAAGACCAGGACTAAGGAACACTGACCTAATGTCTAGCCAAACAATAAGGCCAATCAATAAGCCCCTGTTGTCCTGTTCTCTGGTCCCTGCAGGACTCTGTCATTCCTGGGGATGAGTCTCTGTCTCTCCCTCATGTTCATCTCCTCCTGGTACTATGCCCTGCTAGCCATGTCCATCGCTGGATGCATCTATAAGTACATTGAGTACAGAGGGTAAGAGTTTGGTTTCCCAATAACAGCTCAATAACATTGTACTGTATTGTAATTACATTGGTTGTGGTCCTTAAATGTGTGACTAACAGCTTTTATGTAGTGTGCCCATTCCCCACACAATAAAATATAACACAGTATCATACATCTCTACGCATGTCCCACCCTTTCTTTAACCCATGTTCTGGACTCTGTGTTATAATTGGCTTCAGTTTGGTTACAGTTTGGTGCATTGCTTTTGTTACCTAATGTGTGAGATCTCTGAAATCCTATAGTGTTTCTGCCTTTTTTAACCCACTACCTGATCTCTTTTTCCTCTCAGGGCAATGAAGGAGTGGGGAGACGGGATCAGAGGTCTGTCCCTGAACGCTGCTCGCTATGCTCTGATCCGCCTGGAGGAGGTGCCAACACACACTAAGAACTGGAGGTGAGAGGCTGAGAACAGTGTAGAGCGTAGGGTGGGGATGACTCCTGGACTAAGGGCCAAAGTGTAGTGATGATAAAACTCTGCCTCTTCAAAGAGTATGTTAAATAATCCCCCTCCTAACATAAACACATTGAGCATCTCCAGGCCTCTAAGCATACAGCTGCTGATGTGCGCCTTTGGAACGTTTAGAAAGTCTAATAAATAAATGTAATTTACACCATCACAATAACTCCATTATTTATTTTAGTCAGGTCTAAACAAACATTATGATATGAAGAGAATGTATTTCAGAAGAACAGAATATGAGTTGGCCTACTGTAGGTCTATGTTATCTGGCTATGCTCCATGCCATAGGTTGTAGGCCTGTTCATTAAGCTGACAAGATATGCTTATAAGTCCTGTGGCATTTTATATTAAGAAGAATATAATTGAATTTAGCTGAATAAAATAGAAAGGATATTTTTTCCATTACAGAGCGAGTGCGCATATGAAGTGGCTATGTTGAGCGTAAAAGTGATAATTTGAAACTGGTTCTATATGCTAGATTTAGTTATTTGGTAGCTTTAGTTGTGAATGATACAAACCTTAGAATGTCTTTGAAATTAAAACATACAGTCAAGTAAGTACACCCCCTGGAAAGTGGTGTTTCTATTTTTTATTTTTTTATTACATATTTGGACACATGGATATTTGAGCTAAATTCCCACCAGATTCATTGATTTAAGGTAACCCAATTTAACAAATCACACCAAAAAAAATTACTTTGAAAATTTTATGCAATTAAAATAAACAGAAATTCATTTTCCTTATGCGGAAAAAGTTAGAACACCCCTACCTTTACCATCACATAAAATGGCTAAAATTAGAATTAGGTGCACCAAAACAGGTGCAAATGATTAGAAAATCATTAGAGAGAAACTTCCATAAAGATTAGAAACTTGGTCTGGTTTGGTCTTAACCATATGGGTGTGTGGTAACACATCATGCCAAGATCAAAATACCTCCCCGAGGCCCTCAGAAGAAAGATTATTGATGGCAATTCGAAGTACATAATTCCACTGTCCGACGGCTCATCTATAAATTGAGAAAATTCCAGACCACTGGCAATCTACCTAGGACAGGTCATCCCACCAAATACAGCCCAAGAGCTGACCGAAAGATGCTCATAAAAGTCTCTAAGAACCCCAGGGGGTAACATCAAGGGATCTACAGGCCTCTCCTGCCACAATCAATGTTGAAGTGCATGAGTCAACTGTCAGAAAGAGACGCAAATTTGGCCTACATGGGACGTCAGGAAGGAAGAAGCCTCTGCTCTCAAAAAAGAATATCAAGACACGACAGATGTTTGCTAGACAACACCTGGGTAAAGACCAAGACTACTGGAACAATGTGCTCTGGACAGATGAGTCAAAGGTGGAGTTGTTTGGCCGCAATGCCAGATGCAATGTTTGGCAAAAATGAAACACTGCCTTTGAACAGAAGAACCTCATACCAACCGTAAAGCATGGGAGACGGTGGCATTATGGTTTGGGGCTGCTTTGCTGCCTCAGGGCCTGGCCAACTTGCTGTCATTGAGTCAACCATGAATTCTATATTGTACCAGAGAATTCTTGAGGAGAATGTGAGGCCATCTGTCAAAAAGATGAAGCTGAACTGAACATGGATCTTGCAACAGGACAATGATCCAAAACACAAAAGCAAAGCTACAACAGAATGGCTCAAAGAGAGGAAATGAAGGGATATGGAATGTCAAAGCCCAGATCCTAATCCTATCGAAATGCTGCGGGGGGACTTGAAGCGGGCCATGCATGCAAGAAAGCCCCTCGAACATGACACAGTTGAAGCAGTACTGGGAAGAAGAGTGAGCAGAAATGTCTCCCAGTCGATGTAAGAGACAGATAGACAGTTACAAGAAACGTCTACATTAAGTTATTTCAGCCAAAGGGGGCAACACAAGCTATTGAAGCTAGGGGTGTACTTATTCTTTTCTGCTCTATGGAATTGCATTTCTGTAGATTTTTGATGAATAAATTATTGCAAAGTATAATCTTTCAGTGTCATTTGTTAAATTAGGTTACCTTTATCTGTCAATAGTGTTGAAGTGAAGATTACATATCCATCTGTCCAAATATGTAAAAAAATAAAATAAACTTTCCAGGGGGTGTACTTACTTTTTCACATGACTGTATATGGGCTGCATTGTCAGTTTGAAGACTGTAGAATCTAGTGTAGATCTGATGACTAGCATACACACAGTTGTCTTGCTGTTCTGTCTGGTGACCTAGTTTAGGGACTTTTCCTGATGCCTATCTATTGACACATACTGACTGTACTTTACCTTATCTCTCCCCCCAGACCTCAGCTACTGGTGCTACTGAAGCTGGATGCAGACCTGGGGGTGAAACACCCTCGTCTGCTGTCCTTCACCACCCAGCTGAAGGCAGGGAAAGGCCTGACCATTGTCAGCTCTGTGCTGGAGGGCACCTACATGACCCTGGAGGCCAAGGCCAAGAGCGCAGAGCAGGTGAGACTGAGACACTCATATCACATGATCATGGAGGCAGGGAATTCGTATCCAGTGTTGGGATTCGTTACTTGAAAAAGTAATATATTACATATAACTCCTTACTTTCAAAGTAACGCGTTACGTTATGAATATTACTTTCTGTGCAGAGTAACGCGGAGTGGTCTAAGGCACTGCATCTCAGTGCTTGAGGTGTCACTACAGACCCCCTGGTTTGATTCCAGGCTGTATCACAACCGGCCATGATTGGGAGTCCCATAGGGTGGCGCACAATTGGCCCAGCGTCGTCCGGGTTTGGCCGGTGTAGGCCGTCATTGTAAATAAGAATTTGTTCTAAACTGACTTGCCTAGTTAAATAAAGGTAAAATAAAAAATAAAAATAAATACTCATTATATTACTTTTGCATTACTTTCTTTCACAAACATCCTCAAATGAATCTTGGCAACGAGGCATGTTGGTCATCCATCAATTTAATAATGTAGAAGAGGATACAATACTAATGATATAACAGACACAAAATCATATTTTTAATTTTTTAACACTAGAATAGCCGGGCCTCGACGAATACCAATGCTGCAGGCATCTATTTTAACAGTCTAATAAATCCATTTAATATACACGATCACAAAGAAATGCATTATTATTTCCGTTTAGGCAGGCCTTAAGAAACATTATGCAACAAATAAAATGTATTTCAAAAGAAGAGAATAGCATATTTAGAGTTTAATTATGTTACTGTGCTTAGTAGCCTAGGCTGTATGGCTATGCGGCATGCAATTAAATCAACTATAGCGTTGTTCATTTGTTTATGTAAAAGACAATACACTCTTTTTCCATTGCCTTTATCACAGTCAGTCACATACAGTTAGGTCCATAATTATTGGCACCCTTGATAAATATGAGCAAAAAAGACTGTAAAATAAATAATACAAGTACTGAACTACATTCTATGCTCAAAATAATTTAGATATTACTTTATACTAATACAATTGCTCAGAGAAAGAGATTTTGTTTATAAAGTCATTTAAAATAATCTCAAAAAGATAGGGGTCAAAATTGTCACCCCTGTTTTCAATACTCCATAATGACACTGAGACTTTTTCTACAATGTTTTATGAGATTGGAGAACACATTGGGAGGGATCATAGACCATTCCTCCATACAGAATCTTTCAAGATCCTTGATATCCTCTGTCTGTGCTTATGCACTGCCCTCTTCAATTCAAACCACAGGTCTTCAATGGGGTTCAAGTCCTTAGACTGAGATGGCCATTGCAAAAAAAAAAAAGACAACAGGAAACGAGTTACAGCATGAATTCGGTAGAGACAAGGCTTTAAAAATATATATACAGTTGAAGTCGGAAGTTTACATACACCTTAGCCAAATACATTTAAACTCACAATTCACAATTCCTGACAACAAGTCCCTGTTTTAGGTCAGTTAGGATCACCACTTTATTTTAAGAATATAAAATGTCAGAATAATAGTAGAGAGAATGATTTATTTCATATTTTATTTCTTTCATCACATTCCCAGTGGGTCAGAAGTTTACATACACTCAATTAGTATTTGGTAGCATTTCCTTTAAATTGTTTAACTTGGGTCAAACGTTTCGGGTAGCCTTCCACAAGCTTCCCACAATAAGTCGGGTGAATTTTGGCCCATTCCTCCTGACAGAGCTGGTGTAACTGAGTCAGGTTTGTAGGCATCCTTGCTCGCACAAGCTTTTTCAGTTATGCCCACAAATGTTCTATAGGATTGAGGTCAGCGCTTTGTGATGTCCACTCCAATACCTTGACTTTGTTGTCCTTAAGCCATTTTACCACAACGTTGGAAGTATGCTTGGGGTCATTGTCCATTTGGAAGACCCATTTGCAACCAAGCTGTAACTTCTTGACTGATGTTTTGAGATGTTGCTTCAGTATATCCACATAATTTTCCTTCCTCATGATGCCATCTATTTTGTGAAGTGCACCAGTCCCTCCTGCAGCAAAGCACCCCCACAGCATGATGCTGCCACCCCCGTGCTTCACGGTTGGGATGGTGTTATTCGGCTTGCAAGCAACCCCCTTTTTCCTCCAAATATAACGATGGTCATTATGGCCAAACAGTTCTATATTTGTTTCATCAGACCAGAGGACATTTCTCCAGAAAGTACGATCTTTGTCCCCATGTGCAGTTGCAAACCGTAGTCTGGCTTTTTTATGGCGGTTTTGGAGCAGTGGCTTCTTCCTTGCTGAGTGGCCTTTCAGGTTATGTCGATATAGGACTCATTTTACTGTGGATATAGATACTTTTGTATCTGTTTCCTCCAGCATCTTCACAAGGTCCTTTGCTGTTGTTCTGGGATTGATTTGCACTTTTCGCACCAAAGTACATTCATCTCTAGGAGACAGAACGCGTCTCCTTCCTGAGCGGTATGACGGCTGCATGGTCCCATGGTGTTTATACTTGCGTACTGTTGTTTGTACAGATGAACGTGGTATCTTCAGGCGTTTGGAAATTGCTCCCAAGGATGAACCAGACTTGTGGAGGTCTACAATTCTTTTTCTGAGGTCTTGGCTGATTTCTTTTGATTTTCCCATGATGTCAAGCAAAGAGGCACTGATTTTGAAGATGGGCCTTGAAATACATCCACAGGTACACCTCCAATTGACTCAAATGATGTCAATTAGCCTATCAGAAGCTTCTAAAGCCATGACATCATTTTCTGGAATTTTCCAAGCTGTTTAAAGGCACAGTCAACTTAGTGTATGTAAACTTCTGACCCACTGGAATTGTGATACAGTGAATTATAAGTGAAATAATCTGTCTGTAAACAATTGTTGGAAAAATTACTTGTGTCATGCACAAAGTAGATGTCCTAACCGACTTGCCCAAACTATAGTTTGTTAACAAGAAATGTGTGGAGTGGTTGAAAAACAAGTTTTAATGACTTCAACTGTATATAACACGCCGGTAGAGAGATGATATTACCCAATTTTTTAAAAAGTAATGTGTTTCATTACGCCGTTACTCAAAGGTAATCTGATTATTTAACACTTAACATATAACGCGTTAACCCCTAGCAGGTCAATTTTCCATCATGTCCAGAACAGCTACAGTTTCAACAAATTCACCCTTGGCTACTGATTCTCAGGCCTAGCCAATATGATACATAGCACTACATTACAAGTGTTTTGTGCTCACTGGGAGCAGGTGCAATTCAGCGACCTACGCAAAGAGTATAGAGACTCCATCTCCAGTTTATAAAGCCAGGTTTCAATTTTCAAAGTTTATTTGCCACGTGCACAGGATACAACCGGTGTAAAACAGTACAGTGAAATTCTTACATTGAGAGCTCTTTCCAACAATGCACTGATAATAATGATAAAAATAATAATAATAATAATAATAATATATACTGAACAAAAATATAAACACAACATGTAAAGTGTTGGTCCCATGTTTCATGAGCTGAAATAAAAGATCCTAGAAATAATTTCCATATGCACAGAAAACGTGTTGCTCTCAAATTTTGACAGGTGTAGCATATCAAGAAGCTGATTTAAACAGCATGATCATTACACAAGTGCACCTTGTGCTCTGGACAATTAAAGGCCACTCTAAAATGTGCAGTTTTGTCACACAACACAATGCCACAGATGTCTCAAGTTTTGAGGGAGCATGCAATTGGCATGAGCGGTTGCCAGAGAAATTAATGTTAATTTCTCTACCATAAGCCACCTCCAACGTCGTTTTAGAGAATTTGGCAGTACGTCCAACCGTACTCATAACCGCAGACCACGTGTAACCACGCCAGCCCAGGACCTCCACATCCGGCTTCTTCACCTGCGGGATCATCTGAGACCAGCCACCCATACAGCTGATGAAACTGAGGAGTATTTCTGTCTGTAATAAAGCCCTTTTGTGGTGAAAAACTCATTCTGATTGCCTGGGCCTGGCTCCCAAGTAGGTGGGCCTATGCCCACCCATGGATGTGCCCCTGCCCAGTCATGTGAAATCCATAGATTAGGGCCTAATGAATTTATTTCAATTGACTGATTTCCTTAAATGAACTGTAACTCAGTAAAATAATTGAAATTGTTGCATGTTGCGCTTTACATTTTTGTTCAGTATAGATCATAATATAAAATATTATTTTCTATTATTTTGCCCTCAGAGCAGCCGCAATTCGTCTGGGCGTGACTCTACAAGGAGTCGAAAGCGTTCCACAGGGATGCTGGACCATGTTGACTCCAATGCTTCCCACAGTTGTGTCAAGTTGGCTGGATGTCCTTTGGGTGGTGGACCATTCTTGATACACACGGGAAACTGTTGAGCGTGAAAAACATAGCAGTGTTGCAGTTCTTGACACACTCAAACCGGTGCGCCTGGCACCTACTACCATACTCCGTTCAAAGGCAATTAAATATTTTGTCTTGCCTTTTCACCCTCTGAATGGCACAATCCATGTCTGAATTTTATCTAGATTTAGAAATCCATCTTGAACCCGTTTCCTCCCCTTCATCTACACTGATTGAAGTGGATTTAACAAGTGACATCAATAAAGGTTCATAGCTTTCACCTGGATTCACCTGGTCAGTCTGTCATGGAAAGAGCATATGTTCTTAAAGTTTTGTATACTCAGTGTACATGTAAACACAGCTGTAAAAGTAACTGGTAACAGCAAAATATAAATATAATATACTAATGGTAATATAGACATGTAAACAGTAGTAATAGGGACCAGTAGCAGGATACATACTAATGGTAATGGTAAAAATCAATAACCAATGGACAACCGCGTAATGGAGTAATACATCTAATCATTTTAGCAGCAGTGTAGCTTGTCTGAATGGGTCAAGACCTGTGGATGGGCATAGAGTCGGTGTGGATAGTCGGTGAGAGAGGGAGAGCAGTAGTTGTTAACCATTTATCACTCTTATGGCCAGGGGATAGAAGCTGTTTAGGAGTCAGGGGATAGAAGCTGTTTAGGAGTCTGTTGGTCTGAGCCTTGATGCACAGGTACCGAGAACAGTCCATGTCTCGGGTGGCTGGAGTCTTTGGCAAGCACACTACAGGTGCTAGTATATGCAATATTATCCCTGACTCTAAAAGGCTTACTCCTGTGCTTTCACCTCATTGGGGAGTTTCAATTCATGATCTCAAAACTGAGAACTCTGCCACCTGCTAGCAGGTCAGAGGGGTGCACTGGAATATCATTGAGGCAAACTGTTAGAGATTAATACTGGTGAAACTGGTGAAGTATTATTGTTTATCATTGTGATCCATGTAGATTTTATATGTTTTCTACCTGATGCAAAGCCAATTGCACTCTGGGACAAATAAAGTTGGAACTTTATGCATAATTACATGATTCTCTCTATGCACCTCACTCTCTATCCTCTTCCTCATCCCAGATTACAGTCTGATGAAAGCTGCATTTCGTTATTTTACTCCGTCATGCTACCCTCTGGCCAAGTTCAATGATAAATACTGACTGGTCTAATTCAAGCACAAAGAGGTCAATAAAACGCTTTGCGATGTCAAACTCCACTGGCTCTGTAAAGATTCCTGCAGTCAGCTGTATGTTTCCACTTATTAGCCACACATGTTAAAACATTATTTTGGTCCCTCACTCTTGACTTAATGTCCAAGTTTAGAAAGCGTTCATAAAGACTTACATCACAATTCTGTAAAAAAAGACCATGGGTGATTTTCCTTCATACTTTCTGCATAGTATACTTGCATCAAATGTTTCTTCCACTATCAGTGTCTTGCAAGTGTAAAAAAGTGTATTTATGGAAACTATTTATTTTCACTCTCCCATACATTCATCCTCCTCTTCACTCTTTCCTTATATTTTCTCCTGATGTATGTCTTCTTTTCTTGGTGCAGAACGTCAAGTCGGCCATGCACGCAGAGCGTACCAAAGGTTTCTGCCACGTGGTGGTGTCCTCTAACCTGCGGGATGGTTTCTCCCACCTGATCCAGTCGGCAGGGCTGGGAGGCATGAAACACAACGCCGTCCTCATGGCCTGGCCTGGGGGCTGGAAACAGGCAGAGGACTCCTACCCCTGGAAGAACTTCATTGGTACGCACACCATACTCTACTATATTCCACAGTACACCCCATAGTTTGCTATACTAGTCTACAGTTGATTTAAGTAGCATCAAGTTTGTCATACTAAGTAGCCCCTTGTGACGACATTCACATACATCTGAAAAATTAAGCTAGCTAGCTACCTAGTGAGATTTGGTTTTAGGTTCCGTGAACATTTTAGTAAGTGAATGTCTTATGGGCAGGGTCAAGACTTTATCCTGACCAAATGACCTGACCAGTCAAAACTGTCAGCCCTAATTATGTGTATTTCTTGAACTGATAATAATACAAACAGTACAGTAAATATCCTCCTTATCCCACAGAGACGGTGAGAGAGACTACGTCAGCCCATCAGGCCCTGCTGGTTGCTAAGAACATTGACAAGTTCCCCAGCAACCAGGACCGTCTGGGGGAGGGCACCATAGACGTGTGGTGGATTGTCCATGATGGAGGTCTTCTCATGCTGCTGCCTTTCTTACTGCGCCAACACAAGGTACTGTGGCATTGGCACCATATGCCTTTGGGTACTATATACTGTTGCTTTGTAAAAAATCAACTACATTCTAATGGTGGCCAGATAAAAAATAAAATAAAATAAAAAGTGAATTGCAGGGGGCCATTAAACAATTTCCACAACTGATATTAGACTGAAGCACTATTAGCATTTAAGCATTTAGAACAGTTTCACTGACACGCATAGTTTCTTTCCTCTTTTCTGTCTCTCTTTTCCATGTCCTTGTCTGTCCTAGGTATGGAGGAAGTGTAAGATGCGTATCTTCACCGTGGCTCAGATGGATGACAACAGTATTCAGATGAAGAAGGACCTGCAGATGTTCCTGTATCACCTCCGTCTCAATGCTGTAGTGGAGGTGGTGGAGATGGTAAGCAGCTACAGTCACACTTAATCAATCATACTTGCTATAGTATCAATAAGAAAGCATTTGTCAAGTATTTTTTTGTATTTCTGTCCTCAGCACGATAGTGACATTGCAGCCTTCACCTATGAGAAGACCCTGGTGATGGAGCAGCGCTCTCAGATGCTAAAACAGATGCAGCTGTCCAGGACCGAGAGGGAGAGAGAGGTAATGTGATGTTCAACTCTGTCAGGCTCTGTTTAACCGTAACACTGTGTAACCCACAGGAGGTTGAAGGTACCTTAATTGGGGAGGACAGGCTCAAAGTAATGGCTGGAATGGAATCAATGGAATGGTATCAGACTCATCAAACACATGGTTTCCATGTGTTTAATACCATTCCATTCACTCCATTCCAGCCATTATTATGAGCCGTCCTCCCCTCAGGAGCCTCCTGTGGTATAACCAGGTGGTTCAATAGTGGACAAAACATAATTATATTGACAAGCAAACACATGATCACTGCTTTGAATGTTATCTGTAGGCCTATGCACAATGTTTAAATCAAAGACAGGGACAAAGATTGTACTTCACACACAGGATAGATTATATCTGTGTTTTTTCCTGTTACAGTAGTTCTTTACTTCCTTGTTGTTTGTGACTCGTAATATGGATCGACTGTTGTGCCATTTTGGCCTGTCCTGATTTGCTGCTGCTGTGTTGGATGTTCTGGGCTCGCATTGGGTTGGGCTTCAGATTCAGAGCATCACAGACGAGTCGCGTAACTCCATCAAGAGGAAGAAATCATCCGTGGTGGAGACACTACAGGCCCCAAACACACTACAGGTCCCAAGCCTGTCCATATCCAGGGACATACGGGAGGATGAGGAGGTAGCCCAGCAGCCATGTGATGTGTCTGCCTCAGAACCATCCCATAAGCATCTCCCTCTCCCACTCCACCCTCTAGCCCATCCTCATGCATGTATCTGACATGGACAGAGCCACAGCTATTAAGGATTTTTTTGTCAATACTGTATGCATTTCTGGAAGCAGTAGCCCGAAGCATTACCCTGAATGAATATGGCTGTGGCAAATTAATGAAATAGAACTGCATTATAGGATTTCTATGGCTGTGGTCCTCTCAGCGTCATTGTCACCCTACTCCTGCATCAATTTACCTGAGAGTTATCGGCTCAGTAACTTTGTAGCAGGTATTACACTTAGATATTTTTAAAACAATCTTCTTAGAACTAAAAACTTAGAACGTTCTTGGTACGCTGGAAAAACCGCCAACCCCAAACCTCCAACTTCAACTTGGATTAGAAATGTAATCGCATTTTTCCTAATCTTTTCCATCATTTCCATTTTTCATCTTCACTTATTTGTAATATGTTTTTTATTATTGTTTGCTATAGTACACTTTATTATTTCTATGTCATGCATTGTTTGTATGGTGCTTTGTTATTTTAATGTTGAAGCATTGAAATGTACAGTAATATTTCATGCCTTTTCCATGGAGGAGACAGATGAAGCAATGCAACCATGAGAATGTCTTCCATAATCCATTTTGAATCTATTGCTTGGAGTAACATTATCATTCTTGCCAATAATGCAAAACATAAGGATAGTCTCCATTCTACAGTTGTGCCAGCCTCCTGATCCTATCTGACAGGAGGCACCACTTTGTTTAGCATCCTGCCTTGGTCTGTAGTGACACCAGTGTTGTTATTCCCCAGGCTCAGCTGATCACTAAGCTGGGCACCAAGTCCCACGCCAACCTCAATGACACATCTACCGCCACGCCCGACCACTGTGTCCACATGACCTGGACCAAAGACAAGCTGATCGCCGAGAGGAACCGTAAACGCGGCGAGCCGAACTTGGGCGTGAAGGATCTCTTCAATATGAAACCGTAGGTATCTCCCTCTAAAGGCCTCAGGCTCACACTGCAGCACGCAGTCAGACATGCCCCTTTCACACTACTGAGTCGAACTGAGTCTTGCTGTTTTGTACTGGCCTGGTTATGGTAGTGTGAATACGGTATTGGCACTGCCAACAGAAACTACACAATCCATAGATGCACCTGTCTAGTGCACATATAGAATAATGGCTACAAAAGCAATAGTACTGTTACATACTTGAAATATCTAGACAGAGTGTGATGCACCTTGACCTGAACTACACTGTTCTCAGGATGTTCGGACTAGTGAATAACCTGTCATCAATCTCTTATTTGTGTGTGAAATGTGTGATTAACCATGGTGAGATGTATATATTGTAAACATACCTAAGTCATTCTATGTTTTGTTTTGTTTCCTCGCTTCTAGAGAGTGGGAGAGTCTGTAAGTGAAGTTTCCCTTACTCTTAACTGTGTGTGTGTGTGTGTGTGTGTGTGTGTGTGTGTGTTCTCTCCTCCTCTTCTAACAGCATGTATATTCATCTCTCAGTTGATTTACTTGGAAAATATAACATTCACTCTGCGTCTGTAACATTGCCTAACTTACCTAGACTATTTTATATATGCTTAGAATGATATAACAAATATGCCTTGATGCTTAGGTAAGTGAGGCGTGATATTGTTATTAATGGAAAATCAAAGTTCTTCTATCATACAATTACTTCTACCTACAATATTCCTTAACTAGATTTTATTTTTTAAGCCTACTGTTACATGCAGTATCAACATTACATAACTCCTGACATATTCAACCATGAACCATGTTATATCAATATAATCTATAGTATGACTATACTGTAGCATGTCTATGGAGGCATTCGGTATACATGACTTAGGGTAGCTAATTGGCTTACTGTCCATTTTTGTGATTACAATTTTGTCATGATGCCGTCAAGTCACTTATCACAAATGCTTATGACTGGTGTGATGTCATGTTTATAATAGCATCCTGTAGTGGGATAGAAGGCATACATTGCATCCCAAATGGCAACCTATTCCTTATATAATGTACTACATTTGACCAGGGCCTGTCAGGCTCTGGTCAAATGTAGTGCACTATATAGGGTGCCATTTGGGACTCAGTCCAAGTAGAAGACATTTAAGAGTTGTTATTCTTGAGTTTAACCTGTTATTTTGTAGGAACCAGTCTAACGTGCGGAGGATGCACACCGCGGTTAAGTTGAATGAGGTTGTGGTAAACAAATCCCAGGGAGCTCAGCTGGTGCTGCTGAACATGCCTGGTCCGCCCAAAAACAAGGGTGGTGACGAGAATTGTATCCTTTTTTTAAACCACTAGTATACACTGAACTGGATAACTGAGTGTCCACTGGCTGAGTCAGTATCATCTTACAGTAATATATAGACTGAGAGGGACTGAAGCTAAACTGATGTACAGTGCTGTGAAAAAAGTATTTTCCCCATTTATGTTTTCTAAATTTTTGCATATTTATTACACTGAATGTTATCAGATCTTCAACCAAAACCTAATATTAGATAAAGGAAACCTGAGTGAACAAATAACACAAAAATGTGATACTTATTTATTTATTAAACAATGTTAAGCAACACCCAATGCCCCTGTGTGAAAAAGCATTTACCCCCCTACATTCAATAGCTGGTTGTGCCACCTTTAGCTGCAATGACTGCAACCAAACACTTCCTATAGATGTTGATCAGTCTCTCAAATTGCTGTGGAGGAATTTTGGCCCACTCTTCCATGCAGAACTGCTCGTTTCAAGTCCTCCTACAACATCTCAATTGGATTTCGGTCTGGACTTTGACTAGGCCATTTCAAAACGTTATATTTGTTGCTTTTCAGCCATTCTGATGTAGAATTTCTTGTGTCTTTTGGATCATTGTCTTGTTGCATGACCCAGTTGCGCTTCAGCTCACGGACAGATGGCATGACATTCTCCTGTAGAATTCTCCTATACAGAGCATAATTCATGGTTCCTTCAATGATGGCAAGTTGTCCAGGTCCTGAGGCAGCAAAGCATCCCCAAACCATCACACCACCACCACCATGCTTGACTGTTGGTATGAGGAGCTTATTGTGGAACGCAGGGTTTTCGCCTGACATAACTGGACCCATCACTATTTCAGGCATACTTTTATGACTGCTGAATACCATCAATCACAGATCATGTATTTTCAGGTAGAGATACCTCGCGAAGCAACTGCTCTCTATCCCTCTCGTTTGTTCATTCTTCTCTATTCTCTCTGTGTCCCACACTAACCTAACATACAGTGGGGAAAAAAAGTATTTAGTCAGCCACCAATTGTGCAAGTTCTCCCACTTAAAAAGATGAGAGAGGCCTGTAATTTTCATCATAGGTACACGTCAACTATGACAGACCAATTGAGGGGGAAAAATCCAGAAAATCACATTGTAGGATTTTTTATGAATTTATTTGCAAATTATGGTGGAAAATAAGTATTTGGTCACCTACAAACAAGCAAGATTTCTGGCTCTCACAGACCTGTAACTTCTTCTTTAAGAGGCTCCTCTGTCCTCTACTCGTTACCTGTATTAATGGCACCTGTTTGAACTTGTTATCAGTATAAAAGACACCTGTCCACAACCTCAAACAGTCACACTCCAAACTCCACTATGGCCAAGACCAAAGAGCTATCAAAGGACACCAGAAACAAAATTGTAGACCTGCACCAGGCTGGGCAGACTGAATCTGCAATAGGTAAGCAGCTTGGTTTGAAGAAATCAACTGTGGGAGCAATTATTAGGAAATGGAAGACATACAAGACCACTGATAATCTCCCTCGATCTGGGGCTTCACGCAAGATCTCACCCCGTGGGGTCAAAATGATCACAAGAACGGTGAGCAAAAATCCCAGAACCACACGGGGGGACCTAGTGAATGACCTGCAGAGAGCTGGGACCAAAGTAACAAAGCCTACCATCAGTAACACACTACGCCACCAGGGACTCAAATCCTGCAGTGCCAGACGTGTCCCCCTGCTTAAGCCAGTACATGTCCAGGCCCGTCTGAAGTTTGCTAGAGTGCATTTGGATGATCCAGAAGAGGATTGGGAGAATGTCATATGGTCAGATGAAACCAAAATATAACTTTTTGGTAAAAACTCAACTCGTCATGTTTGGAGGACAAAGAATGCTGAGTTGCATCCAAAGAACACCATACCTACTGTGAAGCATGGGGGTGGAAACATCATGCTTTGGGGCTGTTTTTCTGCAAAGGGACCAGGACGACTGATCCGTGTAAAGGAAAGAATGAATGGGGCCATGTATCGTGAGATTTTGAGTGAAAACCTCCTTCCATCAGAAAGGGCATTGAAGATGAAACGTGGCTGGGTCTTTCAGCATGACAATGATCCCAAACACACCGCCCGGGCAACGAAGGAGTGGCTTCGTAAGAAGCATTTCAAGGTCCTGGAGTGGCCTAGCCAGTCTCCAGATCTCAACCCCATAGAAAATCTTTGGAGGGAGTTGAAAGTCCGTGTTGCCCAGCGACAGCCCCAAAACATCACTGCTCTAGAGGAGATCTGCATGGAGGAATGGGCCAAAATACCAGCAACAGTGTGTGAAAACCTTGTGAAGATTTACAGAAAACATTTGACCTGTGTCATTGCCAACAAAGGGTATATAACAAAGTATTGAGAAACTTTTGTTATTGACCAAATACTTATTTTCCACCATAATTTGCAAATAAATTCATAAAAAATCCTACAAATGTGATTTTCTGGATTTTTTTTTCTCATTTTGTCTGTCATAGTTGACGTGTACCTATGATGAGAATTACATGCCTCTCTCATCTTTTTAAGTGGGAGAACTTGCACAATTGGTGGCTGACTAAATACTTTTTTTCCCCACTGTAGCAGTTGTAAAAGAAACACACAGACCAGACAAGTAGGCGCGCAATGGATTATGATCATTGTTGTTAATTACCACGTTTTCTGCGCTAAACTACACTACATGACCAAAAGTATGTGGACACCTGCTCGTCGAACATCTCATTCCAAAATAATGGGCATTAATATGGAGTTGGTCCCCTTTGCTGCTATAACAGTCTCCACTCTTCTGGGAAGGCTTTCCACTAGATGTTGGAACATTGGTGTGGTGACTTGCTTCCTTTCAGCCACAAGAGCATTAGTGAGGTCAGGCACTGATGTTGGGCGATTAGGCCTGGCTCACAGTCGGCGTTCCAATTCATCCCAAATGTGTTCGATGGGGTTGAGGTCAGGGCTCTATGCAGGCCAGTCAAGTTCTTCCACACCAATCTCGACAAACCGTTTCTGTATGGAACTCCCTTTGTAAACAGGGGCATTGTCATGTGAAACAGGAAAGGGCCTTCCCCAAACTGTTGCCACAAAGATGGAAGCACAGAATCTTCTAGAATGTCATTGTGTGCTGTAGCGTTAAGATTTCCTTTCACTGGAACTTAGGGGCCTAGCCCGAACCATGAAAAACAGCCCCAGACCATTATTTCTCCTCCACCAAACTTTATAGTTGCCACTATGCATTGGGGCAGGTAGCATTCTCCTGGAATCTGGCCAGATTCGTCCGTCGGACTGCCAGATGGTGAATCGTGATTCATTACTTCAGAGAACGTGTTTCCACAGCTCCAGAGTCCAATGGCAGCAAGCTTTACACCACTACAGCCTACGCTTGGCATTGAGCATGGTGATCTTAGGCTTATGTGCGGCTGCTCGGCCATGGAATCCCATTTCATGAAGCTCCCGACAAACAATTATTGTGCTGACATTGCTTCCAGAGGCAGTTTGGAACTCGGTAGTGAGTGTTGCAACCGAGGACCAATGATTTTTACACGCTACGCGCATACAGCACTCGGTGGTCCCGTTCTGTGAGCTTGTGTGGCCTATCAATTCGCGGTTGAGCCGTTGTTGCTCCTAGACCTTTCCACTTCACAATAACAGCACTTACAGTTGACCGGGGCAGCTCTAGCAGGGCAGAAGTTTGACAAACTGACTTGTTGGAAAGGTGGCATCCTATGACGGTGCCACGTTGAAAGTCACTGAGCTCTTCAATAAGGCCATTCTACAGCCAATGTTTGTCTATGGAGATTGCATGGCTGTGTGCTCGATGTTATACACCAGTCAGCAACGGGTGTGGCTGAAATGGCAGAATCCACTAATTTGAAGGGGTGTTGGAAACTTAAACTCCCTACTACATTGCACAGTTCGGGCCTTGATCTGATTTATCTCTAGAGAAACTGCGCAATGTGCACATTGAGCTCACAGAAAAAAAAGAATGAAATGGAATTCAAATAATTCAACTGACGTTGGTCAATTAGTTGTTTAAAAAAGAAAAAATAACCAACATTTCCATTAATCGCTCAGCACTAGTGTTGCATAACTTTTCTAATTAAATAAATTAAATAAGTATACAAATGTGTTATTTGTTCACTCAGGTTCGCTTTATTCAATATTAGGTTTTGCTTGAAGATCTGATAACATTCAGTGTTAAGAATATGCAAATATAGAGAATCTGAAAAGGGGCAAATACTTTTTCACGGACGGCACTGTACATAGGCATGAACTGTTGATGAGGAACTGCTTGTAAAATTCCAGACTTTTAGGTTATTGCCCCCATTACTTTTACTTTTGACATTTGAAATCACTGTACCATTAGTACTCTTCCACATCAGTGTCTATGCAGTTGTTTCTCCTTGAGCCCATGGCCTGTAGACATGGAGTTTCTGGAGGTTCTTATGGACGGCCTGGACCGGGTGCTACTGGTACGCGGCGGAGGCAGGGAGGTGATAACCATCTATTCCTAACGCCAGAAGACACGGGCGGGCATGGTGCAGCCTCAGAGCCTCCGGCGGGGCCATCTGGAACGAATGGCTGGGCCTCGGCCTCCACCACAGTGCCAGGAGAGGAGTGAGGCGCCCCCTATAGTATGGGAGGACAGTAGGGGGCTGCCGCCTCCCTCGGAGCAGACTAAGCACACACTGCTGCTGACTGGAGGACAACAGAGGGCACTCTGGATCATCTTCCCTTTCCATTTCTTATTGTCTTCCATTCAGGTTTTCTATGTCAGTCGTTAGGAATAGGAATTATTTCAGTAGAACAAAGTGCATAAGTAATAATATTAGGATAGATAGAGATGTCCTCGGATGGCATGGCTCAGGGCTCTAGTGGAGTATGGTCTAGTCCAGGGTTTCCCAAACTCGGTCCTCGGGACCCCAAGGGGTGTACGTTTTGTTTTCTGCACTAGCACTACACAGCTGATTCAAATAAACAAGTAATCATTAAGCTTTGATCATTTGAATCAGCTGTGTAGTGTAAGGGGAAGAAACAAAACGTGCACCCCTTGGGGTCCTGAGGACTGAGTTTGGGAAAGGGCTGTAGTGGAGTGTGGTCTAGTCTAGCTGATATGGGATGTAGCTTGTAAGTCCAGATAGTAGACGGGTGTTTTAAATCCCAGGTGAGCGAGCCACTTGTCCTGTAGTGCACTACTTTTGACGAGCTCTATGGTCAAATGTAATGCACTGTATCGGAAATAGGGTGCCATTTGGCAGGCCCGGCCCTGGGCATATGCGACATAAGGGGTTGCGTAGACCAAAAAAGGAACTCAGTCGGAGTCTCAACTTACTGTTGTATACCTTTCTCATAGTTTCTACAGATTGTAAATTAAAGATAAACATTTTTGCTAAGAGTATTATTGTATTATTGATCGATTGACTACGACTTTTCAAATAACCCAGCAGTGCTATTTGCAGAGTTAGCTCCAGGTAAATGTTGCAATTCTTCAGCCATCCCTGAACCTGCGACCAAAAACAAGCTACATATGGACAGTACAAAAACATATCATCTAATGATTCTCTTCGCAGCAAAATCTGCAGAGCTGGGATGGTTGTATCCCCCATATATATAACATTATATTAGTTGCAAGAATTTTGTATAATAATTTAAATTGAAATTTTTTTAAATCTGGCGTCGTTTTGTGTATCAGTTCATAAACCATGTGCCATGGAATTGGTACATCGAAAATCTCTTCAACTATTTTGCAATCTATATGGCACAGCTGTCATTTTTTTGGTCCTTAAATGAAACTGGTATACTTTTATTTATCACAATTTTATTTAACCAATTTTGGTCTTTAATGCATGGCCGACAGACAAGTTCCTTACTTTCTCCCCCTTCCACTTGCCTCTTCCATTTTTTTGCGGTAATGCTGCAATTAGTTGGTTGGAATTTTGGGTAGAGCAGACATTTCCATATATTTTTGTTAGCTGCATGTGTGACATAACTCCACCAGTCTTATTTATGATATAATTTACAAAGATTATATCTTTTTTTATATAATGTTTTTTTTTATCAATTAGTATATTTGAGTTTAACCGTAAAATTTGTTGTAATATTTGTTGTGTCTTTTCTGGTGGATTAAACTGCAATTGCAACCAACTTTCTATGGCTTGTTTTAAAAATAGCGATATTTTGGAGATTATTTAATTTACAAATAACCAAAAGTGAGAGGTTGTAATCTGAATAAAGGGGAAAAGGCCATTCTTAAACATGGGGTGAGACATTCTTACTTTAAGTATAACTTTTGTATGACTGAAGCATTTAGTGAGAGGTCTAATGCTTTAATATTTCATCATTTCTGTCCTCCGAATTCGTATTCATTACATTTGAAGTCGATGGTTTACATACACTTAGGTTGGAGTCATTAAAACTTGTTTTTCAACCGCTCCACACATTTCTTGTTAACAAACTATAGTTTTGGCAAGTCGGTTAGGACATCTACTTTGTGCATGACACAAGTAATTTTTCCCCAAAAATTTTACAGACCGATTATTTCACATATAATTCACTGTATCACAATTCCAGTAGGTCAGAAGTTGACTGTGCCTTTAAACAGCTTGGACAATTCCAGAAAATTATGTCATGGCTTCTGATAGGCTAATTGCCATAATTTGAGTCAATTGGAGGTGTACCTGTGGATGTATTTCAAGGCCTACCTTCAAAGTCAGTGCCTCTTTGCTTGACATCATGGGAAAATCAAAAGAAATCAAACAAGACCTCAGAAAAAAAAATAGTAGACCTTCACAAGTCTGGTTCATCCCTGGGAGCAATTTCCAAACACCTGAAGGTACCACGTTCATCTGTAGAAACAATAGTACACAAGTATAAACACCATGGGACCACGCAGCCGTCATACCGTTCAGGAAGGAGACGCTTTCTGTCTCCTAGAGATGAACGTACATTGGTGCGAAAAGTGCAAATCAATCCCAAAACAACAGCAAAGGACCCTGTGAAGATGCTGGAGGAAACGGGTACAAAAGTATCTATATCCACAGTAAAACAAGTCCTATATCAACATAACCTGAAAGGCCGCTCAGCAAGGAAGAAGCTACTGCTCCAAAACCGCCATAAAAAAGCCAGACTATGGTTTGCAACTGCAAATGGGGACAAAGATCGTACTTATTGGAGAAATGTCCTCTGGTCTGATGAAACAAAAATAGAACTGTTTGGCCATAATGACCATCGTTATGTTTGGAGGAAAAAGGGGTGAGGGTTGCAAGCCGAAGAACACCATCCCAACTGTGAAGCGCGGGGGTGGCAGCATGCTGTGGGGGTGCTTTGCTGCAGGAGGGACTGGTGCACTTCACAAAATAGATGGCATCATGAGGAAGGAAAATTATGTGGATCTATTGAAGCAACATATCAAGACATCAGTCAGGAAGTTAAAGCTTGGTTGCAAATGGGTCTTCCAAATGGACAATGACCCCAAGCATACTTCCAAAGTTGTGGGCAGAACTGAAAAAGCATATGCGAGCAAGGAGGCCTACAAACCTGACTCAGTTACACCAGCTCTGTAAAGAGGAATGGGCCAAAATTCACCCAACTCATTGTGGGAAGCTTGTGGAAGGCTACCCGAAACGTTTGACCCAAGTTAAACAATTTAAAGGCAATGCTACCAAATACTAATTGAGTGTATGTAAACTTCTGACCCGCTGGGAATGTGATGAAAGAAATAAAAGCTGAAATAAATCATTCTCTCTACTATTATTCTGACATTTCACATTCTTAAAATAAAGTGGTGATCCTAACTGACCTAAGAAAGGGAATTCTTACTTGCATTAAATGTCAGGAATTGTGAAAAGCTGAGTTTAAATGTATTTGGCTAAGGAGTGTGTAAACTTCCGACTTCAACTGTATATAAATAGGCCGTTTAATTTTATCTGGCTTGCCGTTCCAAGTAAAATGGAATATTTTTTACTCATATCATTTAAAAACTAGTCGCAAGTGTAGGCAAGGCCATAAGCAAATATGTAAACTGGGATATGACTAAGGAGCTAATCAGGGTGATTTTTTCCACAAATAGACAGGTATTTTCCTTTCCATGGTAGCAAGATCTTATCTGTTTTTGCTAACTTTCTATTAAAATGTATTGTAGTGAGATCATTTCTTTCTTTCGGGATTTGAATACCGAGTATGTCCACTTCACGTCAGACCATTTTTTTGGCAAACTACGCGGTAATATAAAAGTTGTATTTTCTCTACGCTCCATGGCAAGATGTGTAGAATTGTAGGAAATTAACGTTAACTTAAATTTTTACAACCAAATATTGTTCAGGGCCCCCAAAAGGCAATTTGGGACACAGTCTATCATTTAGGTGTTATATAGAGAATGAATGGTACAGTACAGGGTGTACAGTGTATCCCAGTAACATAAAAAGTGTCCATGTCACATTTTGCAGCACAGATTGATGTGTAAGTTGGCTAGTGCACTATAGGCCAACTGCTCAGTATGTCATTATTGTTTATTTTTTCAAGTCACTAAGTCTGCTTCTGCTCTTAACATATCACAGTAATAGGAAACGAGTTGAATACCTTATTTAGTTGTCTGTGATGCTGGGTATTGTGTGTGTGAGTCCAACCGTACTTGTACATTCTTATAGAAAAGCAGCCATTGTGTGTCTATTGAGATCCTTAAAGTTTCTGGTATTGATTTATTCAACTGTACACTCTGTTGATAGATTTTGGACGTTAATTCAAGTACTGTATTTATTTTGTCCCTAATGAGTATTGCAGGCAAACATAGGACTATGGGGTCACCATTGTTTGTACTACATGGTTGTACTCTCCCCTAGTGGTTATGGCGTATCTACATGCGGTATGCTTTTTTGAATCCAATGTTGAGGTTACGGTGTGTTTGAGGGAGCCTGTATGTGTCTGCGGTCTGCACCATATACAATTATGCAAGACATATTGTATGTCTTTTTTTACAATAAGAGTTAGCTGATGTTGTTTTTAACTACAAGAGTTAGCTGAATATGGAAGAACTATAAGACTATGACTTGGTGTATGACATGGTGTCTTAATCCATCATTTAAGATAGATGGTAGATGAATGCAAAGATTGGCACTTTTTCAAAATTATACTATACATTTGTTTGTGACGGTATTGCATGTTGCTGTTCTATTATATACTGTAATCCACCTTATAGAAATATAGTGGGAGATGCAAACATGTCAGGTGATTCTGCTCTCATGTGTACTAATATGAGCCCTATAGGTTCAGATAGTCTATAATGTGCCAAATATGTTATGAATGACTGAATGAATAACTGAGTTCATGTATTTCAATGTAAATGTATCAGCATATCAGTAGCATAATTCATTTGATAGTATAGCTGGAGTACATGATATCAAATCTCTTAGTAAACTCTTAAGACTCATTTACTAGTCCACGTTTCTCATTTTAGTTCTCTCTACATCAACAATCGTTAGCATAGTATTTACCGTTTCCTTTCATGTTATGTCGTTCTTAAAGTTAAAGTAGACTCTCCCATTTTTGCTAAAATGTGTTGAGAAAATGGACTGTTCGAAAAAAGACTTGACTGTTGTTTTTATAAGAAAATGAATGACATTCCTGAAAATAAATAAAATGTTGTCTTTACAATTTCATATGTGTGACTCCAGACTAGAGCTTTCATTGCATCATAGTTTCTATAAGTGACCATAACTGTATAATGTATGTAACGTCTGGGGCTAAATACTGTAGTTGTACCAAGTTCATGTTTTTATTCCTGGTTTGT